TTCTTTCAATCATAAATTATTAAAGCAACAATGTTCGAAATAAATTCCGCATTTATTTGCTAAAAAATTATTTAAAAAATTATTTCATTTCCTTATATTCTTCTTCTTCTAACAACTCTCAACATTACTGGTTAGGCTGGCTCCAACGGCTACAAGGGTAAGGTAAGGGTAAGAAGTGGCGCGGCCGTCGTCGACAGTAATGGAAACCATTCCATTTTCATCGTCTAAGTCCATATATTGCTGGTCCATCTATACGTTCAAAATCTTTCTTGTTTGTATCAGTCCAGGTCTTGATTGAAGCACCTCGCTATTGATGCCATTCGTCACAAGGTTTAGCAAATAACGAAATACGTATCAACTCCTATGGTGGGCAATAAAGAATGTGTCCTAACCACCGAAGGCGAAGGTGATAGCATTATTAATGCAAGAGATATTTGAAGTGATATGAGAGTGGAAGATGGATGCGATCATGTGATATTTTATCCGCTCGAGGGACCCGTAAAATGTACCTTAGATAAGATTGGTCAAAGGTAAATAGCTTCTTAATATCTTCCACTCTCATTGGCTGCCATATAACAAGATCGAATGAGTCACGGCTATATAGATGCAGGCTTTCATCTTAATGGTAATTTCACGACGGTTCTATTAGTGTTTCGCCGGTAAAAACGCATTTCTAGCTTTCGTGATCCGAGCTGTAGTATCATCTTTTGCCTGTCCATTTGGTATTAGAGTGGACTAAAGGTATTTGAAATCGGGCACTTCCTCAACCGGCAATGAATTTAAAAAAGAGGCATTTTATCAGCTTTTTGCACATAAGACCTTCTTTTTATTTACTTCGTTTAATCCTGAATCCGATTCTCGTTGCAGTTGTTGACACGTTATTTAGCATTATTTGCATTTCATCATAACAGTAAAAATTACTACATCATCAACGTATCAGCGTATTCAAGATCTCTAGACTACTTGTATACCCCTTGAGTGCCGACAAGCGGTGTCCATTACCCAGTCTATCTCATAGTTGAATACTGTAGGGGAAAGGACGCATCCTTAATGGACACCTGTTCTTATTTCGAAGGAATCTATCATCCCCATATACACAGACCTACGCCGACATGCGCTCATAAAATACCTTTATGAGTCTAATGATTTTCGCTGGAACACCGTCACGTACCATCACCCTCCAAAGCGCCGCTCAATCAATTGAATCAAAGGTAGCCGCAAAGTCAATGAAACCAGCTTACACGTGACAGTGGATTGCAAATATTTGAAGCGATGTTCCACCCTTCTTACCGTGAATATCTGGTCAGCGCCCTGTTCTGAAACCAGCTTGATTAGGGCGCATCCTGCTATCCCGTATTTCCATAAGTCTATTCAATAGCAGGGAAGCAAAAATTTTTTTTTTTCTGAAATTATTTCTTCTTCTAAGGAATAATTAATTTAAACGAATTTCAATATTATTATAGTTTATTTTAATTAATTTCGATTATTTCATTTGAGAAAAGATTTTTGATTTTATTGTTTCGCTAATTAATTATTAAATAGTTTGCTGCTTTAAATCTATTTATTTATTAAAATTCGTTGATTTTCTGCTAATTCCATTCATTTCGAAGTATTTTCGCTGTCATTTAATTCGAGAATTATATTAATGAAAACTTGATTTCTTTTAGTATTTATGAAATAATTTCGAGATTCGTTCAAAACTTATCTCGGTCACAAAATTTTTGAAGGAGGGCTTTATTAGCCCAATAGAAGCTCAATAAGGCCTAAGTCTGCACCGAACAACTCAGTTAGAATTAACAAGATTTGTAGAGGTAATTTATGCTTCTGAGATACTATTTGAGGTCATTCAATTTTTATTATGACTGTGATGGGCCATTGGAATGCAATGAAACATATTCCATATCTCTATTCTAAATCAATTTTACAAATGGTTCCAAAAGTCTGCCGAATGGTTCCAAAATTCTTGCTAGGATTTGGCTCGAAATCTTTGGATTCGCCAGATATTAAAAACAATATTTAAGATATTGAAATGTATAAAGAAGCAAGAAGAGTAATAAAACAAAGATTTTGTCGGTTTAATCTTAATGAAGAACAATGTGCTTAATGGTGAATTGGCTATATTCACAAATGAGTTAGTTACTATCATGGAGAACAATCCACTCAGTGGTGGAATCAAATATCCAATACTAGTCAGCATAGAAGCCTTTGCCAAAACCTGTGTGGCGTCTCTAGCTACTCGGAAATGAGGGAGATAATGCCAAAACGTTAATTTTTCCAACGCTGAGCAAAAATATTTAATAATTCATTTTGATTCGATTCGTATCCATTTCTATATCAAATTTATCACAAAATTTTCATTTTTTCTTGGCGGAATCTTCAGCTTCGTACCGTTTGGCATCAACGGGAGAGATTCCGCTTTACGGCCCAGATTTGTTTACAACAGGATTTAATGCATTAATCTTGAATCGTTCAGTTTATTTTAACGATTTATATGAGTTTTGATTTCACCTTAATGGCAGGTTCATTTCGGTTAGAAAATAGAGATCAAATTCATGGTGGCTTAACCTTACCCGAAGCAATATACCTCTACTACTCTACTACCTCTTAGATGTTGAAGATTTTTTATTCTTCTATTTTCTATATATTTTTTAATTGGACAAATATGCCAGGGAGTCCCTTGGCGATAGAAGTACAAATGAGTCACTAGCATCACTCGGATTTTTGGACAGGTCTACCCGGGAAATGGAACCTCAGCATCGACACTGAATAACAACCAATTGAACCATTTCATCCTCCTCCCAAATGAATTGGCTAATACATATTTTTAAACAAATAATGATATTCTCATTTTTCTGCAGAATGATTCCGAAACACATAGCAAGCACGAGGACTCGGTGAGGCTGATTGAACATTGGTGTTTATGCATGTTTATACTACATTTAACAAAGTCTTTGCTTCTTCATATGTTCTGTTTTGAATTGAAAGCACGAAGTAAGAAACATATGTGCTGGCTTGTTGGTTTTTCATATAAACTTATTGTTGAAAGCGGAGCACCAATGGTGCTGGTGGTGCTGCCAATGGTACTCTGTCTTAATCGTATTCTTATCCTAACAATCAGTGGAGTCAAGTAAAAACGCTGAAGATGAATGGCTTTCTTTACATTCCGAAAATTAAATATTGCTGCATTGCTGAAGATATTTTTTTAAAATTACTTTTATTTTGCTCAACTTCTATCGTTTTTAAAATGTTTCATTTGTTGATTTATACGAAAACTAAGGTCGTAAATAATAGAAAATGATTCAAAGTGAAGCAAACCTATGTTAAATAATGAAAATTAAATGAAATCGAAAAATTCGTTTAAAAAAATAAATTTGAAATTTATTATTATTCGATCGACCGACCGATCACTTTTCATAAACATTCATAGGTTTTGAATAAAGGCAAAAAAATTTATCGAATATTAAATCTTAACTTTATTTAATAATTCAACAAAGTTTAACGGTGTTGCGGGTTGATTGGAGCTGTGAATGCTTCTGCGGTCATTGGCCGATTCCTGAAAATTTCCTTGTTGCAAATTTTACGCATTTACGATCATAGCGATGAACACTTTCCAAACTCCCCTAAGCAATTTCCAAGCAAATTATTTATGTTTAAACCTCAAAACTAAAACATTCGCAAAAGCGAAAGTAAAAGCCGATTGAAAAAATGAAATTTTTAGTGAAAATTTATGAAAGAAAAAAGAATTTGAAAGTGAAAGAAAAACAAAGAGGATGGAAATTCACGATTTTAAAATTCGCGATATTCAAGCCAACCATAGTTTCGAATTCTTATTCACTTTTTTTTCATCTAATTGGATTCAATTTCTTTCATTTTTGCTGAATTTAAAGCGCAAAAGAAATTTTGAGGGAAAGAAAACCAAAAATTTGTCTGAAGTCATTCTGCTCATTTTCAAATTATTATTCTCACCTTATACTGTTCTATTCCCTCTTTCGATTATTTAATAATTCTTAACTCGAAGAAATTGGTCTTTTCAGCGTAAAGTTTAAACAAATTCACAAATGAATATATGTTGATAGGACTTTCATAATTCAGTCCACAATCCATCCAAACTAAATCAAATCCAGAATGAAAAATCCTTAGAAAATATACCACATGGTTAGCGCATTACTATTAAACTAACTTTCCTGGAATATATCAAATCTTAACTATATCAAAAAAATGATGAAGAATCTAAATACTATGGATTTATTAAAAATGTGCTAATTGGCACTAAACTGATAACTGATTAATTATCTAATATTATATTAAATCTAAATCGAAATAACTGAATAACAGTGATAATTGGTGATAATAAATCTAAATTTCAAGAATTTACTAATTATTAATAATATTTTGTGAAGTGGTTTGATTTTAAAAAATTTTCTACAAATTTTAGTAGATAATATTCTAAATATTTCAAAATGATTTTTAGCCAACAAGATATTTGTCAATTTACAGTTGAATTTACTTCTAAAAATTAAAAAGAGCAATATTTGTGGAAACTGGAAATTATATGAACTATTCCTTCTGTCATTCTCAATTACAATATAAGTTGGTTTGCTTTCTCTTATTTCATCAAAAAGCTCGATTAGCTATTCAGATAAGGCAAAAGTATTAATTGATGAAGATCTGGTTAATTAGAAAATAGTTGCTATAAAAGCCATAGATAGCTTTACAAGTAAGGTTAATGCTCACCATTTCTGACTGGCTCCCTTCACTGACTTGTCAGATAAATTTTGTTAAGGAATTACTTTCCGACAGAAGCACGGATGAGCCGTGGCATTGTTCGCATTTTTATTAAAGACAGATTATTCTGTCGGGAGCAGAAACCCAGCAAAAAAATGGATACAGAGAATAAGTGAGGGAAAGAAGATAAGCGATCTAATCAAAAATGCAAAAAAACTAAGAAAGATTGGCTTCCGGAATACTGCAAATAAATACCAGATTTTCTACTTGTAACATTATTCACAAAGAGAAAAGCTGTTTGTTAATCGTCTTAAAGGTGGTCGTATACAATTAAAAATAAAGTGAAGATAAAACAAAAAATGAATTCCTTGAGTAATTCTCATTTTTAGTACGTTATAATAAATAGTGCACCCCATTTCAGTTGTTGTATTGCCGAATTTTGAACCGTCGTCCATGGTTAATGCACCAGCACCTAAACCGAAACCAACGCCTTTCGGACCAAATTTTCTACCATGGCACTGTTTGCAAAAAAGTTCCGCACCATGCTCAGCTACTGTACATGAATCGAGAAGCTTATTGCAAAGGCCTGAAAATGAAAAAAAAGGTGCAAGTGAAGAATTTGGTGCAAAAGAAAGTTGAAAAATTAGTTGTTAAAGAGAAAACGCGAGATTTTCCAAAAAAATTCTATTAAGAGTTGCTATTTGATAAAATTCAGCGTATATAACTTTCCAGCAAACAAAAACCCATAATTGTGTCGCATTTTATTTCTTTTAATAATTTATAGTTTAGTTGGTTCCACCAGCTCCTAAGGCAAAATCTTTTTGCTAAAAATCCCCTTGGTTTAAGAAATACAAAGCAACCAAAGAAAGAAAAACAACCAATCGCCACTAATGAAATATTAATTCGATTATAGGACATCTGCCAAAGAACAGGAGTACCGCATTCCCACAGGGGCAAAAGCTGAATACGAGACCTTAACGCATTTTCTTGCATCGAAATACAAAGATGACATAGCAAAGGTGATTACATTAAAGAAGACAAAGATTACAAAGTATTATAGAATATTTTTATGAAATAATAAAAATATATTGACAGAAATATATCACATGGCACACATCACAAGTTATCATATGTTATTTACAAAAAATACTTAATAATATTTATTAAAAAGTATTTTCAGTTAAGCAGTTAGCAAACGATTGAATTATATGCAACATAAACATGCCAATATTAGCAAAAAATTGGAAGTTAATAATTCGTGTTGTTTAATAATCCAAACTTATGGCTATCGCTTTGCTCCATCTTCGTGTGAATAGGGAAATAAAAAAATCCTCCAATCCCAAAACCAAATATAAACTGGCAATTTGAAAAAGGAATTTAAAAAAGGAAAGTTATATAAATAATTACACGAAACAAAAAAAATTATTTTAGTGCTCGTATTTTTTAGAAATTTATTGCTTACGTCATTTCAACTTCTTTATTTCCGAATTGTTCTCCGGTATCCATGGTCAAAGCACCAGCACCAATACCGAAACCAATACCTTTTGGTCCGTATTTTCTTCCATGACATTGCTTACAATATAATTCAGCCTGATGTTCACAGCATGTCATAGAATCCAATAATTTATTACACATCGCTAAAATTATTATTTCACATGCAAAAATTAATCGAAACTATATTCACTTCTATCGCAAATGAATAGCTTTTTTTTCGGTGTCTGAAAAAGGAGAAATTTTTTGCGTCAGAAATTCGTCAGCAATTTCCATAATTTTATAACTGAAGAAAATTGTTTCAAGAAGAAAATGACAAAAATTGTTTCTCTGCGACAGAATTTCGACGGAACATAATAACTCACAAATATTTATCCAAGCAAAAATGAAAAAAATTCCACTCCAAGGAAACGCAAAGAAATTATAATAAATTTTAAAATTAAAAAATTTCTGAACAAACTAAACAAAAGAAGCAAAGAAATAGAAAATTTGTTTTTTTTCGTTATTTTCGCTATTTTTAGCGGAATTATTACATTAAAATTAATGTGAACGAATATACGTTAGTCCAATTACTACGGCTAAATGATGGATTACTGAGTTATTGGCCGACAAGAACTTCTTCACTTTGGCCAGAATTTCATCAAAAGAGAAATCACTTACCACATTTGAAGCAAAATTTATGCCATTTGTAGCCACCAGCCGACATTTCTTCTGCGGCATATACAGATTTTCCACATTTTGGACATTTTGGATGCTCGATTGGCTTAAATGGCATATTATTTGTCTGCAAAGTATGAAAAAGTGATTTTAACTAAGGCTTAGGACTCGCGCTCCGAGAACGCACTGTCGTATCGCTCACGTTTCTTCGCGGTATTCTCTTATTTTTGGCGATGAATAAAAAGATAAGCAAAAAACAAAGGAAAACGAAAATTCATAAAAATTAAGAGAAAAAATTCCTCCTTTAGAATGCTTTTTGTTTATTATATTTATTATTACAACTGTAAAATCAAAAAAATTAAATGCAAAGAAACGCAAAGAAATGAGCGAAAATTTTTTAAAAAATATAAAAAATTATTTGCAGAATTTGTCAAATTCTAACGAAGATAGTTAATGAAATTCGCAAAATAACAAATAATGCAAGTAACCAATTTCATCGGAAACACTAAATTCAGAACGGGTTTGGCTGAAAAACTTACGGCGGTCACTTCGCGATTATGTGAATCGATTTTCGATTAGTTGATTTTACTTCGATTTATTATGAAAGTTATTTTAAAAATTTCCATAAAATAAAAGTTTCCGAAAAATTTGAAGCAATTTTTAAATATTTCTTTATTTCTCCTCATAACTAATTTTTAATAATAAATTTAATAATAAATCATATTTCACTCCAAAATATTCGCTTTCTTTTCAGCGAGCATTAACAAAGAACGAATTTAAACGGAAGCAAACGTTGCAAATCGAGAATCATTTCGCTTAGCGGTACCAATACTAATAAATAAAAATTTTGAGAGGATGGAATTGCGAAAGTGATTTCGAAAGTGGTCGTTTTGAAGAGCAAAAGAGTATTTACACTGCGAAAAGTCCTTAAGTAAATTTTTCGTCGTCATCGACAGTTGTGCTAGTTAAAAAATTCCTATGAGTCACTCTTAAAGCAATTCATAAAATAGGTTTTTGCGTACCTCATGAACAAACAATCTTTTTTCTTATTTGCAAACAGTAATATCATTCATTTGACTCACTCACATCGCACGGATGAACGGGTATCCAATCTCCCTTCGTATAGAAAGGTTGTATGGGCGAGGGAATAAAAGAACCGATGTTTGCCCTGGTACCACGGTTCTTGGGTACGACAAAAGATTCTTTAAGGCAACACTACGTGCTACATTATTAGCTAGCAACATACGCGGCACTGCGGAATCTCCTTATCCCAGAAGTCAGTGCAAGCCGAACCAAACTGAAAACGGTGATATAGAGGGGAAAGAAGAAAGAAACTGATTAACAAAATTATTATTATGGAAACTTTAACAGAGCGAGGCACCGATTTTGGAGTAAATTTTCAAAAATTTCGCGAAGGTATTGAAGAAATTATAAGTCAACTTCGATGAAAATTTGCTTATAATTTATATTTATTTATTTCAGCAAAGGCCCTCGTAAAGATTTATTATAAAATTAAAAAATGCAATAATTGTGGATGTAACAAATTGCTATGGACTTCGCGCGTTCTTCTGAATTTTTGCCTGAAATGACTTGTTTCAAAACGCAGTTCAGAGACCAATATAAATACTACAGACTGCCGTTCTCCGGCAAATGCGAGCACAAGAATAGTTGTAGCACAGTTATTTAGCGGCCGGCTCTCGCTGCTAGTGCCTAGACTCGCTTCACTGGTCCAGAGGACATTTTCACTGGAGAGGCACTGGAAAAGGAGATGCAAATGGGCCTCTATATATATATAAGTTATTAAAGATGCCATAAAATGAGACCTCGTGCACTATCGCTGTTATGACTACGAGCCAACTGAGCAATTGTAAAAGAGAAGCATTTTTGCACAAATCGCTTCCTCGCCCAACGATGGTCTTAAAAAAAACTTTCTTTTCACTTGAAAATTTATTCTTTTCCATTCATGGATTTTTCTTTATCATTTCCCTTACTTCGCTTTTATTTATTTTTCTAGTCAAGAATGTCAAGAATGCATGAATTTATAAGGTTTGCCACCTTCGCTGCACGACACGTTTCTTTCTTTTCTGGCGTCTAACATTATTTCCTTTGGTCCGCTGGCTGTTAGGACGAGAAGACGCTTTCGTCTCAGACGTAGATCCGCAGTAACACTCCGCTTGACACGTTTATTCCGACCAGGAGAGAAAAAATGAACTTGCTTGCCCTCGCCACTTCATTAATATTACTTAATGGTTATTTGACAATTACGTTAAATTTTTGTGAAAAATTATTAAAAATGAGAAGAAAGAAAGCAAATTGGAAGAAGAAGAATAGAAAATTGAGACGAATGATTGAAGGAAGGCTAAGATGTTTGATCTCACATTACATCGAAAAATTGATGAATGGTTGCGTGGTCGGTCGGTGGGTCGGCTCGGCCGGCTCGTCGTCGTTGACTTATGTTCGTTCATTTGTCCGATCGTCTTTAACCTCTATTTTTTACTGTTTTCATACTCATTAGTTTATTTCTATAATCCAATAAAAAGATTCGCGGCCTTTTTTAAAAATTAGGCTCCTCGTTTACCCTAATTCTAGATCACGCTACATAAAAGATGCATAGGGTGCTGAAGAAGTATAAAGAGCGTAGCGGGGTTCAGCAAAACGTGAAAGGACTGCGCAACTGAGCACGTTGAATAAATAGTTTCAAGTAAGTATTCTTCTTCATTCAGAATTAGATGGGTATTTCGGCTGATCAGCCAACTGCCTTATTCGATCCAATAAATAATTTTCTACCTTCTGTTCCTTTAAAAAAAGTTTCTGGAAAAAGTTGAATGGAAAAAATATTTTTTTAGAAAATTTTTCTTTTTTCAACATCGTCCAACATTTTTGGTTTGGGTGATAAGTTGATTTTTTTCACGTTTTTATCAGAGCGCAGCTTGGGTGAGAAGGAATAGGTGGATTCTGATTTCTGCTTTAGGTCTACTAGGTCTATTCGAGGAATAAAATTGAAGGCTTATGATAAATTGGTCATAATAAAAGTAATTCGACAATCCATCCTATGCTTATATTATAGAATTAATAAAAAATTTTAATAAATTTTAATAAATTCAATAATTTAAATTGGGCTTTTGTGATTTTTTTTGTTTTGTTTTAATTTTTTATTTTATTGTTTTTAAATTAAATTTTTGCAAATTTTTTGCAAATAAAACAAATAATAATTAAATATTACTATTAAATTTACATTTACTTATTTCTTTAATTCGATTATGCAATGAATTAAAATAATAATATAAAATCATAAAGTAATTGTAATAATACAAAATCATCAACAAATAATTTTATTTAAAAAGGATTCAAATAAAAAATAATTTCCATTCAAAACACTAAAAAATGATGAATTTATATTTGCATTTGAAACTAATTAAATCTATAAAGAACCCATTTATTGTCATAAATTTGATGAACCAAACAATTTTCGTGCCTAAATATAGATTATGCCTCGTCCTCGCAACCAGCGGAGCCAGGCCAACCCGTAATGCTGCGAGCCATTAGACAAAAAAAGACAAAATTGCCTTTTCAAAGCACTAAATAACGAGTTAGTTAGATACGCCGCCAGTTAAAATAATTTTTTTTTCCCATTTCTGCATCGAATTTCATTCAAATGTGTTTCTATTTTTGCTATCTTCACGATTCTTTCATTGAACTGAAATTTTGATTTGATTTTTTGGCCGATTTAAAATCCATAAAACTCGGATAAAACCTATGGTGTGTTGCATTGATCATTAATTCCGTACATGATAATTCATTTGTATGTCGGTTGCGATTCACATTAGTAAGAAAGTATTGTTTCGATTGAAATCAAGCATCATGAAATGAATTTCTGTCCATAGGAACGAAACGAATCAGATGATGAAATGAATCCTGGTGATGCTTGAAATTGTTATTGGAATCTAAAAATAACTAACAATCCTTTGGTTCTATAGAATAGCCCTTTCTATCCATCCAACTAACTCCCTCCATTCATTGGTACTTTAGAAAATATTTTTCAATAAAAAGATTTGCAATTCCTTGATCTCTTAATCATTTTATGAATTTTATATAATTCTCTGGGTTAATGAATCATTCAATTTTTTTTCATATAATTCACATATTCAATGATGTTTAATTCTTGATAAATGATGGGGATCAAATGGTGGATGAACGAGATTTAGAAGAAATTTCGAAAAGATCCTCGACAGTATACAGTACCTGTCAAAGTAAAAATAATCGTTAATTTATGGTATTAGAAGGAAGAAAAATGAGAAATATTTATGAAGATACAAGCATCTGGGTACTAATGAGACAAAAAGTTTCCTGGGATCCGATGTGCTAATGGAGATCATCTTCCTCGCTTTACCGAAAAGCATGAGAAGACATCTAGTGGAACTCTCCGGATAACCAAAATTCCAACTAAATTGGTTATATTTTAATCAGCCGCCGTAGGAAATGTTCAGTACTAGATAGTCGTTCCCATCGGGACTTTGAAATTGGTAACATTCATAGATCATACTATGGTTATGGTTCGAGCCAAGATTAAACTGACAATTCGCAAGAAACAATGTATCCCAAGATTTTTCAACTAAACGAAAACCTATGTCTATGTATTCGCATTTCGCTCGATCTTACTATATGACCACGAGACCTGGCTATTGAGAGTGAAGGATATTAATAAGTTATCTGCCTTTGATAATTCACGTTTACATCTTACGGGTCCTCGAACGGATAAAATCGCATATTACATTCACTCTCGCTCAAATACCACTTACATTAACAGTACCATCATAGAACACCATCTTTGCTGGTTGGGGCTCGTTCTTCATCACCCACCACAGGAATTGACGCGTATTTTGCTAAACACCTTGTGATGGATGGCGTCAAAAGCGAGGAGGTCCAATTAGAACTACTCTTCAACCATATTTTTATTTGAATCAGAAAAGAGCCGTCAAGTGCGCCAATATATGTAAAATCAAAATATAAAATAAAAAATTTATAATTTGACAACAAAAAAGGCCACATTATATTGCTAGGATTTCCATTAAATGCTTTATGCAAACATTTATGCAATATCGAGGAGGTTCAAGGCATGGACTAGATTTGGAACGTATAGGCCGTACCAGCGATATATGGACTTAGACGATGGAAAAAGGAATGGCTTCTATTACTATCAGCGATAGCATCAGACTGAATAGCTTGGAAACCTTTGTAACGAGCGGAGCCAGCCTAACTAATAACAGTGAGAACTGTTATAAAAAGAACTAGATTCCAAATTTCAGCTATAATTATCCGCAAAAGTGCTATTATCAAGTTATCAGGTTGTCATAAGCTTTTCCAAGACATTTTTAACCAATCTGCACTATCCATCTACTGCATATCGACTATCGCATATGAATATTATTGGAAGAAAACAATGCACCCGTGGGTTGACTTGCATTAATGAAGGCTGATGAAAATACATTATCAAGTATATGCGTGGTAAATTTTCTCTGGAATATCTTTTGATGGCATATTAAGGAAATTAATTTTTCATCAATAGAGGGAGTTAAACAAAATCCCAGTTTATTTCTGCGAAGATAGAATTAATGATTTCATAATCACAATAATGTCTAGTTTCTTTCTAGAAAATCTCGAAGGAAGTACATAACGGTCCAATTTCAGAGTGCCTTATCAATTGAATAGAGGATAGCTATAAAACCAGTAAAATAGTAACGGTTCATGAATAATTGGTCATCCCCATATATCCACATATTTATCTTAAATGAGAGTGTACCACTACTATCGCGCGCTACCACGAACCAAATTTATTCAGAAGGCTGGGACCTCATTTATACCTTTACCTCCAAGTGACTGTTTGGCAAAATATAACTAGAAATAATGGTTGAAAATAGAAAAGTTATTTAGCTTTATTTAGTATCAAAAATTCCTCAAGAATAACAACAAAACAATGATAAATAAACAATAGTTCCACAATAAAAAATTGGAGGCTAATTAAAAATAACCAATTATTTTTCAAGAATGAAGCCAGCCATAAAGTTATATTTTTTTTAATTTGCATAAAAAATAAAAAAAATCAGTTACGTCGAATCAAAATAATAAATAAGCAATAAATGGTACAATAATATTATCACCGCGCTTAATGAGGCCTTCTAATATTCCACATAAAACAGATATAAATAATATTTTTATAATATCTATAGAAGATGAGACCAATATAAAGCCGAACAATAAACTAAAAACAAACTGACTAAGTATGAAGGCTATACTACCTTCAATAGTTTTACGAGAATCCGGCCAATAATGATATCCCATGATTGTTCCTACAATTGAAGCCATACTATCACCAATACCAACCGTTAAAACACCAGCAAAATGATAAAGCTCAGGTGGATCTAAAAATGAAAATTATTTTTAGAAAATAGAACATAGATAGAACATAAATTTCCCAATGAAACTTCAAATACACTGATCATATATATATAAATAGTAAGCATATCAAATATAAATAGTAAGCATATCAAATCATCATATTATCACCATTATCAACTAATTTTACTAAATTTTGGTTCTAAATTCAATAACATCGGGTTAAAATTATGAATTAGGTAACTGAAATTATCAAATATGAGAAAGATTTAAATTTAATTTGATTAAATTATGAGAAAAATTTGATTTAAAAATGAAACCCCGAAGGCTGCACAGAAACCTATCTCTGACGAAAGACTCAATCTAATAATCAGTCCAACGAATTACCCAAACCAGAAATGATGGTGTCGTTCTTTTCAACCGAAACTAACCGTAGTTGTTTATAGGGCTACAAAAAACTGGCAGGAATATACCAAGAATTAAATATATTGGTGTCAATATAAGATATACTGAATCCTGTTCATCAAGGAATATTAAAAGCCAATTATTCAAGAACACTGAAAGAGGTCGAATATCTTTCGAACGAATTAACTGAAAATTAAGTATTAATAGTAAAATTGAATTTTAAAATATAAATAAACTCATAAATAACATAAAAAACAAAAAAATGACCATCTTTTTATCATTATATTTTGCATTGACTTATTTTTCTGTAAAGATTTTTGATTAGTTTTAATCGATCAATTATCTTATAGCTCCAAGGCTCACAAAGAGAATTAAATCAAACGTTATATGAGCTAAACTGCCCAAACACGAATTGCAGAAAAATCAGAAAAGATCATTTTTTTTAAAAAAATATTTTTTTAAAACAATCAAATATAAAAGCAACAAACAAGAGAAATATTTCAAACAATTCACTGAAGGCTAACAATTTTGAAGGTTAGGATACTTCAGTTAGACATTCGACAAAAACTATAGGTTTATTGAAAAGAGTAAGCTACTACTAAAAGTGAAATCCAGCTTACTACCAGAGATCCACTATCAGATATCTTCAGCTCGATTTACTATTCTGAAACAAGTGAAGACCACAAAAGCACCTCATCTTAGTAGCTTGTTGAGCCAGCCAAACCATAAATGGCGAACGTTATTGAAAAATGAAAATTACATCAAAGTAGAAAACTATCCAATAGAAAACCTTAAGATGAACCTTTACCTATAATTTATAATTCAATTGATTGATTTATTGCGGTATATTATATAATAACTAACCTCGGTGATAATGAAAATATTAAGAACAATCCATGCAGAAAGCCAAGTCAATTGAAAATCATATTTTATCCCCGTTACGCATATAAGTGATACAGTTAAATGAAAGAATTTCCGATGAACTGTTGAACTTCGACTCCTTAGTTTGACAATTAGTGAGAATGTGAGCGATGCTAGAACGCATATCGACCAAAATAATAGTAAACATATCCTGAAAATAAAAGTTCAATTTAAAAATAAATAAAAAAATAAATTTTCATAATAAATATGAAATTCGAAAAATGAATTTTCATTGAAAGAAGTGAAAGAAATACTTTATTTTTAAGCCAAATGCGGACATCAATAAACATATGGCATATAAGTGCGTGCAAAAACGATATTTGTACATATAAGTGCACAAGCAAGCGCTTAAATATTGATGCAGTTACTTCTCACAACGCATTTCCAGTTAGGCTATCTTCACTGTAAGGATGAGGTGCTTTCGCCAGAAACCTCCTTAAAGGACAAAATTTTGGATGGATCTAATACGATTTCACAATGGCATGGCCCCTACACATCAAAATGAGAATTGAATCCATGATACTTAATCTACACATGTGTTCACAACCACATAGTTCACACCTTCTTCACTTATTCGATATCGATCGGAGATTCTCGATTTTCACGAATCCTTAAATTTTTGGACCAATTTATATTCATAAAGATTATGAGTATAAAGAACATAAAGAACAAGCCTTAACCTTAATGAGCCTAACTACTTTTAATACGCCTAAAAGTATCTATATTAATATAGTGGGTTTCGAGAACCGCTCGGAAAAATACTGGACTCACAAGGAGTTCTCGAACCAAAGTTTGAGAATCACTGATATATATCATTGTGTATAAAAATGAATAACAAAATAGCAAGAAATGAAAAGAGATATTAATATGCATTGGAAAATAAAAGCAAAATCCAAATTACTTGTTCTATGAATATAAACGATAACAGTGGACGTATAAATGCAACAATCACCCATCACAATCACTTCGCTCTTTTCGTATAAAGAAAACAAACGGGAGATCATAACGGGAGGAGGCCGCATGTACTAGTTGACATACTAGCAACATCCCAGAATTAAAAGACAATGGTACTAAACCTATTTATAAATTGGTGGTGTTCAATGTTACTCTTTGCATGTGAGAAAAGTATAACTTAATTCTGGGATCCATATTTGGCAATAAGTAATCTTCCATAAAAGTTAATAATTTCAAGAAAACCTTTGCGATGTTCCATTGAAAATTCTTTCGATTAAAATAAATGGAATTGAAGAAAAAGATTTTTCGATTCTCCACGAAAGAATAATTAATGAAATAAATATTATAAAAACGAATATAAAATTAAGAAATTTGGAATATTGCTTTGGGCATTTAAAAGCTATCAAAATGAAAAGAGCAGTAGAACAAAGCGATAATTGCACTATTTTTCGATCCAATTCATACATCACATCCGAATATTCTAAACGCTAATAAATAGATTAGACTGATTAGATTTTTCAGTGATTGAAAATGGAAGAATTTCATGTCCGAAGACCATAAACGGTGAATTTTGGAAAGAACTGTAAAACCAGTATAACAGTAAAAAACAGAAAATACATCGATAAAATTCATTTCTGTAATCAAATCACTATTTAAAACAATCTTACTATCTCCCACTTGTCAGTAATATGCTTATTGTGCTGGGACTTTGATAAAATATTTCAACAACGAATTGCATTTGAACAAACTTCAGCAAGTCCAATTTGCTTCCAATTTATGAAAGCGAATAAAAATTTACCTGTAAGCTTCAATTTCAAAAAATCTTTACGAGCCAAGAGAGCACAGCATGAATGTTAGGTTTCTCACCACACATTCACAAAGATATCGCAATTTCCAATGGAAATAAAACGAACACTGAGAATTTTTAAGCACTGCATCTCTAAATTGTTTAGCCGTTTCGCTAATAGCCGATTTCTTGTAGCTATAATATGTCAACTCATTTGTGCCTCTATTCTAGAAAGATTCTCTGGCATATATATATATATATATATATATCGGTAATAAACTGAAATAACAAACAATTCTCAAAAATTTTCATCTTTAAACAAAACAAAGCAATTGTTAAAATTTTTATGCCAAAATGAAGAAATTATATAATTATTAAAAATCATTAATATAAAAAATTTAAAAATTATAAAATTAAAAAAAATAATTAGAAACAGTGAATAATAAAGTAATTTCTCATACCTTGAAGAAATATTTTTTAAATAATTTTTTATACTTTTTACAAATTCTAAACAATAAATCGACAGCAGATGAAATTTTCAAAGGTCTTTGAGATTCCTTACGGAATCCTTACGAATATTTCATCGGCCATTCAAAAAGAAAAAGATTGCTAACAATAAAATATATTTAATATATATATATATTTTTTAAATACATTTTATACATTTAATAAATAAAATTAGCAAAATTTCAGTTCAAAAATCGCAACAACAGCTGCAAAGAAATAAAAGAAAATTCCAATTCACAGGTTTTCAAATTAAGAATTTTCGATTACAATGGACAATTTTAAATATTCAGAAATTTGCTAATGAATGAAAAGTTTAGTCTAATTCATCAGAGATGAATAAAAAAGTTAGAATTATTACATTACGATTATTGCTTTTCCATTGAATCTTATAATCAACAAACTACGAAGAAACTTCAATAACAATTTCAATTTCAATTTCAATTTTTACTTGCATTTTTTTCATACTTCATATATTTTTGGTTTTTAGTAATTTTTTGGTACTCTCAGTAAGAAATTTAGTGATTCGTTCATAATTTTTTCATCGCACTCCTTAAACCAAAGTGGAATCTTTTTCCATATAACATCGATTTCCTAACTGCATTGAATCCACTGAAAAATTATATGAAAATCAAAAAATTACGGCAAAAAATTGTGTGGACAAATGTGGCTGCTTATTATCATTTGCGCAACCTTAAGCGACATCTTTTAGGTTTTTTTTAATCCAGCGATTAGCGGAACCAGACAAAGCAGAAAAGGTGCAAAGAAGATATAATTCCGAAAAATATTTACTGGAATTTTTTTCTGCACAGATCCACCGACTTTTTTCTCGTTCTTTAGAAAAATGGAAAATTAATACCTTCCGAACCCGCATCCCCATCAAATTTCCCATCAGTAATGAAGTGGATTCGTTCCAATACATTTTGCTTTTCCGATTCTAACTCGCTACTGCAAAACTGTTTTGCCTAAAATAACTAAATTAACTTTATATTAACACAAAAATTTAAACCAACAAATAAAAAAAGGATCATTTCAAAATTAAAACTTTCTTTAAACAGCAGAATTATGCATAAATAGCCATTTATAAATTCTTTATAAAAAATGCTTTTCTCAAAGTTTAATTCTTTGAGCAATTAGGTTTTTAATTTGGACGTTTAATTAATCAACTTTTTTTTCAGTTTACCGTAAGATTAATAAACTCCCACTCATCTTAACTTTCTTTCTTCTTTAATTATTTTAAAACAAAGGATAAGAAAATTAAAAAATCCTGCAATAAAAATAATCAAAAATAATTTTATAAAAATACAGAAAAAAAATTAAAGAAAATGAAGACCTCATCGGTAATATCTTTACTTTCTGTTGATACTGATTTAGATATTTTAGATATTTCCCCAGATTGCATTATCAGTGGGGATGATACTTTACAACTGCTGCATATATATAGCTGTAACACAAAAAATCATGCAAAAAAAATAAACAAAAAATAAATTAACACATCAAATTTTGAGAAAACAACCATGCCAAACTAGCGTACTATCAGTTCACTGATACTGATATATCCTTGCTATTCGACACGCCTTTCCAAGATCTATACAGAAATACTGCCTGATAAATCATTTTTCTAGCTGTTCGCACCACCTCTGATCTGGCTGCCTCCACTGTTTTATAAGCTATTAAGATGAGACTCATTTGGCAGAGATCCACTTGCAAATAGATATGTAAGCATGAGTCTCCAGAAAACAGCCAAATTTCAATTTGACACATTTACTTTTGCCAAGAGACTGGAATCGAACTCATGCTGCTTCGAAACACATACGGCACAAATCAAAAAAAAAGTTTGATGGCCAAGTCCACATATAATACACACTAGCGAAAAAATTTGAAATCAGATAACTGCATATCTCATAACTAAAAAAAAATAGTGAAAATGCAACTTCGTAAAGTAGGCCAGATAACAAACAAATATGGCAAAAAAATTTATAACTGGTACCTCCAGCCTAAGTGAACCTCAGCCCAGCTTAATCCATTTTCTAAGACTGTGGCAAAGCATTCACTTAACCGGTCTGCCACCATATATTTCATTTCTATTCATTAAACACCACACACACACCATCTTATTCAACAAACAATAACAAACACGTCAAAAATGACAACAGACAAAAAAAAGTGAACATGTCGAATTTCGAAAAATTTCAAAAAAAATAATGAAAAATAAAACGTAAAAAATAAAAAAACTTACTTGAGAAGATAAAATTTTGCTGGGCTGATTATCAGCATTTCCATTATTATCATCACTGTCACCACCATTGTCTAGCAGTTTAAACAGAATGTCATCAATCTCAGAAATATTATCCTGACTCACTGATAAATGAAATATAAATTTACTCAAATATTGTAAAAATTCAGGTTTCGCTGATAATAAACATTCCTTTAATTTTTTCACCATTTTTTTCACACGAATTGCATTAACCAAGTTTTCATCGCACTGTTCCGCATGGCAACACCGCTAAAAAGACTGAGAACTGAGAAACTTTCAAAATTTATAAAATTATCCAAAAATATTAAATGAAATAACTGAAAGAATATCGAAAAATGCTTGCAAATCATTAGCAAAAGAATAAAAAAAGTTGGAACAAGGGCCCTTATTTCTTGTACTTTTAACAGTACCAGTACCAATTGGGCTGTTTGATTGATCAGGCTGTTCTAACATTAATATGATTTTAACTTAATTTAGATTAGCCGAACATTTTCAACAAAAAGTTATTAGAAAAACTGATTATTAAAATCGAAAATCAGCTGATTCAACTAACAAAATCATAAACAGATAAAATGCTTAAAAGTATAAAAATATAAAAGAATAACTAAGAAATATGAACATAACACCATAAGCACCATTATTTTCACCATCTAAACAAAGATTTCTAACAATTGTTAAACTTTAATGTGAAGAAAGCACAAATCGCGCCGAAGGAGGGGATTACGTTGTAAAGTTTACAGCAACAGAATTATAGATTTATTAAATTACAATTTTAATTTCAAAATATTCTACAATTATAATCTAAATAATTTTTGAAAATAAAATTTTTTACAATTTTTGAATCTTTGAAATACAAAAAATTTAATCGAAATTTAGAAAATTTAGAGAAAAATCTTAAATTTTAAAAAAACCCTAAAAAAAATTTTTTTTTACAACGAACAATAAAATAATTTGACATTAGAATTTAAAAATAAAATGGTAAATAATAAATTGGTTAATAGATTTATAATTATATAAGTCATATAATTTCCCTCCAATGCAAAAATAAATGGTAAAGCCTGTATTTATCGGTCAATATTATGGCCAATATCTATGTACCAATATTATGGCTAACATATTTTTGGATAAATCCTTTCTTTTAATAATAAGTCACCTTCTTTGCAAAATTAAATAATTTAGAAATAATATTTAAAAATAATAAAAAATAATAATATAAAGAAATAGCAACAGCAAATATGCACAACTAATGAGCGTCATTAATTGCAAAAATCCAATAAAAAAGAGACTAAAAAAGGCTACAAAAAATTCTGAAATTTGTAGATTCACTTTTCTCCTTTTTATAAATTAAATTCATTTATTGCCCTTTTACTTTTTTTTCTTAGCTGAATTAATCATTAGCCTTCTATTTTCAATCATTTTTCATTTTTCTTAAATATAACATTAATGAACAATAAATATCCATCCCATTCTTAATAATTTATTAATATTAATCTGAAAAATAAAATAGTAACGAAAAATTAAAATATAATATTAAAAAGAATCATTTATTTACAAAAATAAATAATCTTCGAAAAGTTGGAAAAAATTTCCAACTTTCTGAAATTCCCTTTAGTTTAAGTTCTTTAAATTTTTTAAAAACATTTTTATAATTTAAAAGAAAACTTCACAAATTATTACTATCAACTCTAAAAGAATTTTTAAGACACATAAAAAGGAAACCTTTCCAGTTGTTTGCAACAGTTGCTGCTGAATATAAAGCATTTGTTCGATATTCTTCAACCGTTCATTATCTTTACTCGTGAAATTATAAGGTTCAATAAAAGATGAATTAGTTTCTATATTATTAATTTTTCCCGCTTTATTCATCAATTTTTTGAATTGTTCGTTCACCTCCTTAATTATCTAAAATTTGTTTATCGAAGGAAAATACTGGAAAAATAAATAATATTCTGAATCGATAATAAAATTTAGAATAAAGATAAATTGACCCATATACCGAATAGTTGTAATCTGGCAATGTCAGCAAATCATTTCCATGACTATCGGAAATACTATGATAATTCTCGTGATCCTGAAGATGGAATTCAAGCAGCTGAGCTGTTTCTTCGGATAAACCTTGACCCTTATCCCTTATTTCTTCCAACTGTTCGCGCACTGCTGTTAAATTGCTGAAAGTAGACGGATACATTCTCCAAATTAAAAAGATCGATTAAAACCACTCAACGATATGTACATATGTAAAAATAAAAAAATAAACGAAAAGAAAATAAACCTCAAATGTTCCTGAGCCTTTTTAATAGTTTCATCCACTTGTTTCTCCGTATCACTAATATCCGTTTTGCTATGTTCCATTATAGGTTTGAGTAATAATTGTGTTTTTATTTCATTCATTCGTTTTTTACGCGCAGTAATTGCTGCCAATTTTTCACTAAATTAGCAATTAATAAATTTATTGCTAATTGACATAATTAAAAAACCAATAATAAAAATAATAAGAACATTCAATAACTTTTACCCCAATAAATTTTTTAATATTTGAAAAACCAGAATATACACATTAATTTTAATTCATTAATTTTAACTCACTTAATCAGTGAAGCAAGTAAAACAAATCAAGCGATATTAACATTTGGTTTCGGTTCAGTTAAAAAATCATTCGTCTGTGGATGGCTTCAATAAAAATAAAATAGAGTGGCAATGGGTGGCACCTAATCTTCTTCAAAATTTTGACATAGTGTTTAATATACTTTAAAAAAAAATTTTCTGATAATTAGCAATAATACTAATTTATTAATGGTTAAGCAAAAAAATAAAAAAATGAACCGAATCGACTGATTAATGAATTCGCGACGTTCGCGAATAGATTCCTTTGCTTTTTTAACTTTCTTTTTGTTTTTTCGTGCTGCATTATTGTTCAATGAATTTGGAGCAGCCGACAAATCATCCTCATCATTTATTGGAATTGGTGGAATACGATTAGCAGGTGCTAAATTTTCAGGCACTGGAGGACTGTTATCTTCAACTGCCTTTTCTTCATTTTTCTTAAAAATGTAATTATAAAATTTCATATTTAAAATTTAAAACATGAGATGGAAATTTTGAAAAAAGAATACGATCGGATAAAACCTTTTTCTTTGCCTCCAATTTGGCTCTTAATTTCGCTTCCGTAACAGATTTCGGTTGATGTTTGTCGATATCGATAATATCAGGTTCGGAAGCTGAACCTGGCCCAAGTTTGATTCCACGACGTAGTGCTTCTCTTTTTAATCTTTCTAATATTCGACGTTTTCGATCGATTTCGTCTTCTTCAGCAGCAACTAAATGTTAGAAATTTTCTTTAACAAAATTGTATATTAACGCCAAATAAATCAAAATTCCTCTTTTCAACCACAAATCAATAAAACAACAATTAATATTATTAAAATTACGAGAAAAACTTTGCCTTGTCAAATAAATCAACAAAAAAATGACAGATTAATCGCTGAATTTGGCAGCAAATGAAGCAGATGTATCAATATAATATTTTATATTCAAACACAAAAAGTATTATAATATATAAACATTGAAAAAAATATTAGCCTATGGAAAAGCAAACGTGTCAGCTGTGTTACAGCATACTAAATTAGTTTAAAGAATGCATCGAAATTATTTCTTTTCGTTCTCTCTCTTTTATGATCGTAAAAAATTTAGTAATTTAAACAAAAATTTTATAAAATTTTCATTAATATTTAGCAAAAATTTAAAAAAAATGCTTTAAAAATTCTGAATAATTTTAAATTGTTGAAAGTTTTCTTTAAAATTTTAATCAATAAAATGTACTTTTTTTTTAATATGCGAAGTTTCTGGTAAATTTGAGAACTATTAGCCACTAGAATAAAACCTTTCACCAGAAAATCATTTAAGGACCAAAATGCATTTTGAAGGATCTGCATAAATGATTTCGAATTATATATTTCGTTCAAAAGAAATGCTGCAAACTTTAAAAGACAAATTTCTTGTCCTTCTACTTATGACTACCAGACTCTAAAATAAAAAACGGCGAAATTGAAAATTTCCCAGATATAAAAAATATGGTGGCTACCACTGATTTATTGAACCGTTTTGTTTTTTTCATTGCTTTTTACAAAAATCTCATTAAAAAAATAAATAAAAATAAAAAAGCAACATAATAGTAATTGAATAACAGTAGATAAATAATATAATAAAAAAACAATACAAATAAAAATGATAATATTTAAAATAGAAAGATGAAAAGAGAAATATGATGAAGCGAATGCAAAAGAGAATTATTTTGCTCGAGAAGAGAACGCGTTAAATTGTAAATTAAAAATTCTCCTATAAATTTATTATTGATTTTCAATAATTTAAATAAATATTTACACTACACCATCATTTTTCCTTTTTTTTTGAAGAATATTACTTTAAATTATGACATCAAAAAATTAAATTTCTAGAATACTTATTAATCGATAGTTTATCGGGTAAGTTGATCGATATTCGAATTATACAACAAAATATTTAAAGGTAAGACAAACCTTTATCTCGAGCTTCTTCGACTTGTTTTAATGTCTCATTTACAACACCAAACTGTGACTTACGTTCACTTTCCCTGATTTTCACCAAAATATCCAACTAAGACCAAAATTATTTAATATAAATTTTATTTTATATATAATCATATAATATAAATTCTCATTTATAAAAATCCTATAGAAAAGTTTACAGATTTTATTAGGTGATGTTTTTTAATCAGTAATTTTTATTGCAGAAAATATTTAATAAAAAAATTCAAGAAAAATAGGTTAACCTTATTTCTATTAGCTTCAAATTGTTCCATAAGTTTATTATTAACAAGCGAAGCTCGATTTGTTTCATTCATTATTTCGCTTATTTTCTTCATTTCTTCTTTAATCTTAAAAATTCATAAATTTTTTTAGATAATAAATTAATAATAAATTAGAAATGAAACTTCATTTTGAAGCGCAATTTTTCAAAAATTAATGAAACTTCGAATGAATTTAACGAAAAAAATTGTATTATATTGAAAAAAACCGATAAGCCCAGTGGCATTCAAGATGTCTATATTTAATAATTAAATCGATTCGATATATAAATTTATAAATTTAAAAATTACTTGGGAATATTCAACTTCATTAGTAGAGATTTCATCGTTCGTTATCCGCATAAGTTCACAGTTACTTTCATCCTTAATCAATTTCGAATTCTCCGTATTAGTATTTTTATCATTCAATTTTTCAGCCAAATCCTTTTTCTCTTCGAGATTCTCGTTTATTTCATCCGAATCCTTACTAAAATCTTCAGCTGCACATTTTCTTACGGCCTGAATTTATTTTCGAAAATATTCGTATAAAAGGCAATAAAATGTTACATTCAATATTTTCATACCACAAAAAAAAATTTCCTTTAAATCAGAAATTCAAGAAAATTCTAAAAATTCTTGCAAAAGAAAATAGTATGAATTTTTTTGAAATATAGAAAATTTTCGAAAAAAATGTGAATTGAAAAAAGTAATTTTACATGAAAATAAAAAAATTAATTAAATTTCTCAAGGCACATATTAAAGAAGAAATTGATGACATATTGCTATAATAACAAATAATAACAAATGGCAGAATAATAACAAATTGAAAAAATTCTAGAATTCTAGAATGAAAAATTCAACTAAAAAGATATTTTAATATTTTAATAAATAAAACAAAATTACCACAATTTTACTCATCAATAGAATGTATTGTTCTTCTTGTAAACTAAGTTCATCGTAACTCGAAATTATTTTCGACATTAACTCTTTTATCATTTCCTGAAAGCCAAAAAATATATTTTGCAGAAAGAATTCAGAAAGAAAAAAAAATTTTTTTCTTGCTTTTCATTGCTATAATTGTTATAATCTTATTTTATCATTTTCATATTCATTCTTTTATTTATTTCTATTCATCGTTAATTAATCTCATTATTTAGTGTTACTGCTAGTATTAGTTTTTGTACCAATATTACTCATATTATTTCCTCATTTTTTTTTTTTTAAAGCGCTCATCATTAATGGTTAGATTCGGTCCGCTGGCGGACTACGCAAATGCCTGGGAACCAATCATCTGGGGATAAAAGTACAGGAGAGTCGCCAGCATTGAAAAGAGCGTTCCGAACTGAATATAACCCACCGGGCCATCTTACCTTTCGCTGTTTTGCGACACTGCCGCCTGAAGCATGGCGGAACCTCCGTCGGATTTGAACCCGATCTATTAATGAATCTCGATGGAATTCACCTTGACACTAATCCACCAATAGATTCATTATTGCTATAGTTTTTGTATAGTTATAGTTATGAACTTAAAATTGTAAGATTTTAAAGAAATGAATGTCAGAAGGATGAGACGATTTTACCAGAGATTCACTTGAGGACTGAAATATCTCCACAACACCACTTAAATTTTTTAGAGATAAATCCCATCTTTTGTTTGAATCATGCTCGAATAACTTTACTAACTGCTGCTGTGTATAATACTACAATTATATTATTATATCACTATGGCCGTTAATTAATTGCTACTTGATAACCGAATAAATAGGCTGGTCCAAAGTATGATTTCTTCATAGATTTCTTATCCCATCATGGGATAAAAACCTGCCATAAAAATAAAAATGAAAGGGTGATGACAAGTATCTAATTGCAGTTCTTTAACCAAGCGACCATGTGATATTTATGTGGATCGATGCAGCCAGCCAAAGATCTTATTCATGTTCAGTGCAATTAGCTAAACCAGAAATGGTGGATGGTCTTACAGGAAGAGCTGCGGTTAAAACGTAATTTACTATGGAAATCTAAAATACAGACTGATAGATATGCATAGCAAATTTTAATTTTAATGAGCATAATTTTCAATTGGAAAGCTGCACTTTAGATTCGAAGGATATTTTAACGGAATCAATTATGGATATTACCATGGTCAATTATTACTTCACTATTATTGTTATTCTTATTCTTATTATTATTATCGTTACTTTTAAATAAGCCAATTTTCTGACAGATTTTCTTATCATTGCAAATATTTTTTTTTTGAAATAATTTGAAAATTCAATAGAAATGCTCAATCTATTTCACAATAATTCCTAACTAGAGATCATAATTTCGCTCAAAAAAATGAGTAAAAGAAATAAGATTAGCTTAAAATAACTGCAATTTAAAATACAAAAAAGAATAGAAAGGAAGCGATATAATGCAGATACAATAAATTTTTAAAATTAGTATAAAACATCGCCATTTTAAATTTTCAAATAGTAGAACAATGAAAATCCGAAATTTTTTGAGCTTATAGAAGGGTAAAAAAACGAAAATAAAGCAATTAATAAAACTTCGATTCATAAGTTTTCACTATGATTTATAATCAATACAAATATTAAAATATATGATAAAAAATTTAAAATGTAATAAACATTTAATATTTAAATGTATACATACGTTAAATATTTAATATATATTAAATATATATTGGATCTAAATATTCAAATTTACGTTTAAATACATAGTAAGTATTTAAATATATATATTTAAAAAAACCTCATCTTGACAGGAATTTTCTTTTAGTTTCTTCAAAGTATCCAATATTTTTTGTTTATTCATACGGATTCCAATTAAACGCTCCATTATCTTTTTTTGACGAGTTGGCTAAAAATTTTATAAATGAAATATTACTGACTGGTGATGATCCAACTTTATCATCCTCTTTCTACTCCTCTAAATACCAAAATAATTTCACTCCTATAGCCAATGAAATTAATAAAAGCGGAGAAGTGGTGCAAACGGTGCATTAAAAGATGAAAAGGAATCAACGAACCAAATCATCGCTCATATCAAAAGAATCAATTCTTAATGGATTTAATAATTCGGTTGAATTTCCGTCGGAATGCATTCCCGTCAAATCGTTCTTCGATTCCATTTATTTAGTTTTTTTTCGCTTTTCTATCATTAATAACAAAAATAATGAAAATAAAACGGAAAGCAAAAAAAAATGCAAAAGAAATTTTGCTAAAATTGAATTAAGCGATCGAATTATAAAAAAAAAAGTAAATGAATAAGTAAATGAATTACTCATAATTAAATTATTTACTTCACTTGTCTTTCAATTATTTTTTATTGGAATTTCCAAATATTTTCACAAAATTTTTGAAAATAAAAATCAAAACGAATCAAAATGGAAAACTGAAAGCTAAAAATTTCCAAAGAAAAAAAGGAAAATTCTGGAAAATTTCGAGAGAAAAAAAGGAAATTCGAGGAAAACTTAGAAAAATTAAATCCTTGAAAAATAACGACAACAAATCGAATATGCTGAAAAAATACGCACTGAAAATAAAACACAAACTGCCATTACCGAGATCAATCCAAACAGAACCTCAGCCGACGTTAATACGGCCCGACACATAACACAACACGGCCAGCTATGCGAAATGCTCTGAGGAATACTAAATCGGACAATAAAATGATTGCTTCGATTTCGAAAATTATTACAGATTTAATACAGAAAGGTAGTCAGAAACATCCGAAAATTTAAAAAATTCTAAAAAACGACGATTAATTTCATTCAAAGTCCAGAATCCATAAGAAAAAAAGAGAAAAAACTAAAACAACATAACAAGATGAACAAACAAGAAATGCGACAAAACAAAGAAGGATAGAAGTAAAATAAATGGAGATGTCCAAGGCCTAATTGTAAAGAATAAAGAGGACTCTCAAGAAATTATATGCAGAGCATTGGACCGGGAAACATTACTCAATTTGTAAGGAACACAGAAAGCCAAGCCAAGTCAAGCACATTGTTTAGAAGAAGGCCTTTACACAACCTAATGCAAATCGTAGATATGAGAAGAAATACTTTTCAAAGCGAGATGTATCGTTTCTGTTGTAACATTCCGCATATTTTTTCGATTCATAAGCTCAGCGAACCACACTGCTAACACATGTTCACACTAAAATTATTGAATGTTAAACTGATATTTTCGCAAAATATTGACCAAATAAAAAAGGAAATTTTACTCAAAGTTTCAAATGCAGAGAATTTCACTAGAAAACTGTTACATAAATTAATCGATTAATAGAAAACAAAACATAACAAAAAAAGAAATTTTAACCAAAAAAAATATTCAGCGATAAATGCAATCATAAAATAAAATCTGATATACAATAAATCAAATAACAACATTCATTCTATTAATTAATTCTATTGATTTTATATCAATTTTTTCAGAAGGAAGCCTGTTATTAAATGTGACAGAAGCTAGAGAACATCATTACTCCCATGATTTTTTGGCCAAAGAATTATCTAAACATACCATCCTAACATTCACCCTATATGTTAAAGACAATGAATATCGTAACGTCAACACAAAGCGTAAAACATATATCTTCAATTATCGTGGTTCCCATTCGAAAAAGTTGCATTTTGCGGGATCATTCCTGTTCTTTCGACAAGTCCAAAAATAACGACCATGATTTGGACCCTGAAACAAAGAGCACAGAAAGCTAAAATTGTAAAAGTAGTAGTTAAAAGCTAAAAGTATTTAAAATCGGAAATCGGAATATATATTTTTTCAGTTTTGCAGATATGCACGATACCACTTAGTTCCGAAAAATTTACATGCAAAATCTTTTCGCAAGGCAATTATGCCGAGTATATTAGAAGCAAAGAATTATCAAACTGGCTTAATTGCAAGAAAAATAAATCACTCTACCTCTTTTTTAACCAACAAACGAATAGCGAGGTTACCACAGCGGCACTTTTTTTCGATAATATTTTCATTGTTAAAATCATCATTTCTATAGTTTTCATTGTTTGCAGATTCATTAATTCTTTTGGCACCAGTCATTCGCCTAGTAGGACGGTTCATATTGAGAATCGAAAGACCTAAAGATTATACATTCTTTAATAGAATGCAGAGTGCTCAAAGTGGTGGTCGAAAGCAAATGTACTTCAAACATTTTAACATCTTATTACATTAAAAATATGGTTTAAGAGTTAGGAAAAGTGAAAAGTGATAAAATAAAACGAATTCCAATTACATTATTTGAATAAAATTGATATTTTTAAGTATCCGAATATATTTCAATGAAAAAAAAACTTTATTGTAGATTTAACATATCAACATATAATTAATTATTCAATGAATATTTAAAATGAGCCACAGTGGTAAAAAGCAAAAGAAAAAAAAATGAAAATTACTTTCAAGAAGTTCTACATCATTTAAATTGGTTGTAGCTACTTCGGAAGATCGTTCACGATGATTTCGAATTTGTCGTCCAGTTCCTCGATTTTTTCTCCCAGTAGTTGACATTGCATCACCTGCTCCTTTCTTTTTTCGTCGTTCTGTGTTGGGAGTGGAGCGCTTCTGTTCATCATTTAATTCATTATTTTGATTTTCTTGCTGTTTATTCAAATATTCTCGAAAAGTATCTGATAGTAATTTTACTTTTATCTCTGACTGTTCAAATATACGTTTATATTTCGCTAGTTGTTCACGTAATACTTCGTCTTTACTTCTAAAATTTACCAAATAAGAAATGGATTTTAGCATCTGATTTTAAAATTTAAGCAAATTCTGAGACTAGTATTATTAGAATATAAAATGACAAAAGATACTTTTTCCCTTCACATATGAGCTTCAAATTTGATTCAAGATCTGCGCGCATATGCGGTTTACTCATTGCGTAACCCATTCTGTCGTAGCCATCAACAAGCGATAAACCTAAATAACCCGGCAAAAAGCGACCATTTTTATCTATAATAACATACTGCCGTGATTTTATCGTCTCAATATGTTCCGCGTGAGTTGCATCAGTTCCGATACCATATTTATACATCAATGCGATGAGATCGGCTAAAATTAGAAATGAGTGTAGAGAAGAATATATAAGACTGTATAATACACAGACAATAAAAAAAATATATGATCAAAAAATAAAACAATCACAACAAAGGAAAAATAAAATTACATAAAAATTAAACCAAAACAAAAAATTATAAAGACCTTCAGTTAATAATGAAGGAGGCTGAGTTTGCCCTTCATTAATAGAGATCTGATAATCATTCAATATTTCATTTTGCTGATACTGGGGTAATAATTTATCGCCCCAATTTTCATATTTATAAATTTTCAGATAACCAAGATCGTCAACTATTAAACCAGTTGCAACAAAATTTTCATCACCAATTCGTATCTAAAATAATCAAAATTGTAAAATTAGAAAAGAAGGAAAAGAAACTTTAGATTTCGATTTTCACAGCAGAATAGCAAAAAAATTATGATCATTCACTTAAATCTAATACTTATAAAGCTTATTTAAAATAGAGACGAAAAAGTTTTTTAGTGCTTTTTGTCAGAAATTTGTTCGACTTATAATGGAATGTAACTTTAATATTTACTGAGATTCAGAAAAGTGATTAATAAATTAATAAATTGTGATAAATTAATTGAAGAAATACAGAAATAGTTTTTAAATAGTTTAAATCAGATTATTTCATCACTTATATTATTGCGATATTAATTGCTTAATAGATTTAAAACCCAATGCCCAAATTTAAAATTCAGGAGATCTAAGGGACTGAAATTATGAAAGTCCAGTATGACCTAGTTGAATAATCATAATCTTTTATCCGCACAAATCATTAATGGAATAAAATTATGAATATAGTTGGATTTTAAAAATATGGATTTTAATGAATAAAAACTGCTAACACAGTTTTAAAGGACGTGTTTTATAATGTGCTATTCGTAAGACGGTTTAATGGTTTGGTAATCTAATTGCTTTAATGATACAATTCCCTCTCATCATATTGCTAATTAATTAAAATTCTTTGCATGAATAACTAAGAATAACTAAGAAAAGTAATCATACTTGAACTTTGGTTTCGTTGCCTGTTGCATCCCAAGAAACGCAAGCGAGAAAATGCCTAACAATTAACTCATAAAGCGCCCAGTCCAGACCGACAAGATTGTCAGTAGAAGCAAATTTCAAAGGATGGATAGGCGGATGAGCATCATCTGATTTTGTGCCATTTTTTGGATTAGGACCTTTCGCCAAAATCTAAAAAATTAATCACACATATTTATTCAATTATTCAATTTCCATTTTATATATGCAGTTGTGCTCCCACAGAAAAATACCATTTAAAAAATAATACTAAAATCTAGAAAACAATAAAAAGCAATAAGCTTTACTTCAATTTGAAATGACATTAGAAATAAAAACAATAATATAATAATTTAAATTCGAAAATTTCAAAAACCATAAAAATTATTACTGCTTGGGCAAAATCACCCCAATCACTATTTGCTACTTGCGACTGAACAAGTGGACGCAAATCGAAGTTTGCTGGATATTTATTCGTTTCCGTTCGTGGATAAGAAATAAATCCTGAAAATCAGTAATAATAAAAAATAATTTCTGGAACTGGTCTTATACAATTATAAAATAACAAGGTAATATTACATTGCCTATAGTAATAATCTAAACATAAATATTAATTTAAAAAATCCCAAGCCATCATTAAATCCCATCATCACATCCCTACAAAAAACTCATAATAAAAACTATGATCCACTCCATAATTCTTCAAAACTGATACCAAAACCAATGAACCCAAAATACTAACAATAACACAAAAACACAAAAAATAAAAAAACAATCTACCACTTAACACCATCTTAAAACAAAATAAAATAAATCTATTATTATAAATTCCAAAGAAAACAAAACATAAAACAAATGACGCCATTTAAAAAGAAGAGTTAAACAACCAATAAAAAATACAAATACTTAAAAACTACGCAAAGCACCTATAAAAGTTAAAAAACTACTAACAAAATTTAAGTAAAACAACAAAACTCCTACCAACTCCTACCAGTCAAAAATAATAAATATATATCACTAACAACTAAACCTAAACCCATCCCTCCATAATCATATAAATCAAAACTCATACAAAAAAACCTAAAATAAACACATAATAAAAAACTAAAAAAATCTAAACTAAAAACTTCACAAAAACCAATTCTAGAAAAATAAACAATAATAACAAAAATACCACTCAAAAACAGTAAACAGACATAATAACTATACCACACATACAAATTACAAGAAATAACTGGCAATAAACCTAATAAGGAAAATACTAAAAATAATGCCCTTTTTATTGGATCAAAACTAAAATATCTTATAGAAGCAAACAACATAGACACTAAAACAAAAAAAAATAACAAAGAACCAAAATCACCTCTCTATTGTAAATAGAATATTCCAAAAACTATTGATCCATCGATCAAAAACCTTTAAGACCCAAACTCAATATTCTAAAAAACTCAAGATCGTGGAAACAAATTCTTAAATACGCAAAATTTATATTTTAAATAAAATAAATCTCCAAATCATAAGTAATAAAAATAAACATAAAAATAAAAAATTAATTTCCTTACCTGAAAAACCCATAACAAAAATTTTACTTACATAAAAAGAAAAATCACCAAATTTCATAATACTATAGTCCACTATACAGTCAGATCACTTAACAACATAATTACCACGAATAATCACTTTAGGCAACAAATCACCATAAAACTTATACTTAACATCAAAAGAACCAAACTTAAAAAAAACAACACACAAAACCAAACCCAAAATAAACAAATAAAACAAAGAATAATAATCAGAATACAATAATCTAGAAGAAATAACAAAAGAATTATAATTCAACCATCATAAAAAAACAATAGAAAAAACAACTAAAACCAAACTAACAAAACTAAAAACTAAACTACCACCAGAATAAAATAAAGAACTACTACAATAATAATAAAATCCCTTTATCAAACGATAACAATATAAATAAGTTAAAAGAATTGAAAAAAAGAACAAAAACACTAAAAACAAACTCCAATTACAAAAAAAATAATGCTCTAACAAAATTTCCTTACTAACAGAACCACCTAAAAAAAACAACCCACACAAACACATTAAGCTTACAAAAGTCTGAATATAAACAACCCTCCTTAAACCACCAACACCAACATAACCACGAGAATCTTGCTGACCACCACACAAATGAATAATATAACCTATCTGCATAAATAAACATCTTTTAAAAACAGCATGACTCAACATATGAATAAAAGAAAAATAAACTAAACCTAAACCTAACCCAAAAAAACAAAAACCAATCTGAGACAAAGTACTTAATGCAACCAACTTTTTAATATCAAATTCAAAATAAGCCATTAAACCAGAAGAAAATATAGTAAAAAGACCAACAAAAAACATAAAATCCAAAACAAAATCCAAAAACATCACTTCAGAAAAACACATTCCTAAAAACAATCCAGCAGTAACAAGAGTACTCCTATGAACCAAAGCACTAACAGGAGTAGGAGCACTTATAGCCTTAGGCAACCAACTACTAAAAGGATACTGAGCTCTCTTAGTAAAAGTTCTTAAAATAAAAAAAAATAAAGCTACACTTACTACTAACTCTAAACTAATAAAACATATAATAACCCTCTTAAACCCTCTATAAAAATATCCTTACACCAAACTATAATAACACAAAACAAACAAAAAACACTAAAAAAACATTCTAAAAACAACACCATATTTCAAAAAAAATCACCAAAGACCAAGATAAACCTATTACCCTACAAAAAACCATAAAAGAATACCTAGAATAAGATAAAAGACAACATGTACCAAATTTACCTTGACTATACAACTTCTCTGCAATAGACATTGCGTTTTTCGCATTCAGTTTCAATTTCCGAACGGCAATTTTTTCTAATTCAATAGTATCCAATGCAACAGGCCGCCATTTACTTTTTGGTTTGCATATAACTGAAACAACAGAAGCTCGACCTGCATCTGTACAATCATCAAGTAAAGCCTGAAATAACTGAACCACCTGAGGACTTATTTATATAGAAAAAGTAAAAAAATTTAAGTTAAGAAGTATCCAGTGCAATTATCGACAAACTTTATCCAAATTTCCATAGGAACAATACCTGTACAACATCGTGATCAAATACCCTTTGTCTTTCCCAGTTGAATTCTACATCAACACCGTTCCGTACATGTTTGACAACCAATCTCCAAAATTTTTCAGAGATAAATTCCTGAATAGTTTTATATCTTTCCACAACGAAGCCCAACGTCGGAAATTGGCAAGAACCATAACTAATCACATCTTTATGATCATGAAAGATATTCGCAAATACATTTCTAAAATAAAAAAAAAGAAATATAAAAGCCTTATTCAAGGCGGTGAACATAGTCAAAAAACTTTTCTTTTTACTTTTTTCGCATCAAATATTTTATTTTACATTAAAACACGCCTCTAACAATTAACAAAAGCATAAAATATGGATAAAAAATATTAATTACCTTAGATGGAGAGTCTGAAGACGAGTAAATGCCGCACCAATCCGTAAATCTAGCTCTGATCTTAAGATAAAAATATATTAACATTAAAAAAACGAAGATGTAACAAAATCTTTTACAATAATTTGCCGATATTAATATAACCACCGCATTAAAGTCAAAAACTGGGACAGATACCATCTTTCCCTTTTATATTCCTTCAACAATCCTTAAAATTATATTCTGCTCTCTTCGAACCCTATTGTAGCAACTCTTGTATTCCAATTACACAAACTCAATATCCGATCGAGCCTTTTTGACATCCTATTAAAATCTTCTTAACCCCATCTTATTTCCAAGTTATATTCATTCTCAACTCTCGTTGACTACCTAAACATTGCCTCTGGTTCCATCACTTCCCTTAATTATATTAATTACCCTCATTCCTTCGTTCCCTCTGCCACTTTATAAGTATAAATCTTATGCTCTGATTTTCTTTGGAACAATTTGCTATATTGTAATGCCATTTTATCATATTATCATTGCCTTTTTACCCTCACTTTTTTAATACCAGTATCGATAAGTGACACATGAGTATTTATTATTATATAAGATTAAAGCTTTACCTGCATTCAACGGCATCAATAACATGTTGGTCTAATTTGGTTAAATTCTTGACTGCATGCCAAATTGCAATCTGCGTTATCTCAGAAAATTTCGCACGAAAGACATCCAACTTTGGTTTTACAACATTGCATATATTAACTATTTCCGCACCAATATCTTCACCTTCACGATCACAATCCGTCCAAATCACAAGAACCTTCAATGAAAAATTAAAAGATCACTAACTTCGACAGAAGATTGATAGCAAAAAAAAGTTACATCTGAATCGCGAACTTCTTCGATAAGAGTTCGCTTAATATCTTCCATTCCAGGTATAACATCCTTATATAGAGGTGCATCGAAAAGAGAATGTATAGGCGTTTCCTGCCAAGAACGGTGCGAATCAGGAAATCTATATTGCAAAAGATGCCCGGACACAGATGTCATTATTACAAAACAATTTGGAGTGTCTAAAAATGCGAATGTTTAACATTCACTCACAAAGAATATAAACCATATTAAATTATATGCAATAATAATAAATAATGATAATAACAATATTAATTAAAACTCACTTAATACATCAGCTTGAAATTGGTAAATTTTATTCCATTTACTTCTTGAATCACGCCGACTTAATTTTCCATGAGATAATATAGAAGCAATATTCTTCGCTGCATCATTTTTTTCCGCAACAAATAAAGCCCGCATAGCTTTCATAGCATTTAAGAAAAACAATAGTAATAATAATTTAATTAATAAAATTTAAAAACAGTTAAAACTATACATAATTAATAGAAACATCATAGTATCATCTAAATATGCATATTGAATATATTAATATTTTTTACAAAATGAAATTAAAAAACTCTTAAAAAACATATGATAAGGGAATAATTGAAAAATATTTTATGCGTAGAAGCAATTAAATTAAAAAAATTTATTTATCGACAAAATATTTTTATTAATAAATTTAACCTATTATCAATGAAATAAATAACTAATTAATTAGTATAACATTACATATTACAATAATTATAAATAATTCGAATAGCGCATGCACAAAATTCATATGATTATAATTTATATCGTTGCGAAAAGAATTTAACTTAAAATTTGGACAATTAAACCCTGAAAAGACTGGAAGTAACAGAAAATATACTTTCGATACAAATTTATATTTTCCAAAGATCCTATCATAGAAAAGAAAAATTAAATTCCAACTTTTATTCTTGAATTCTTTATTTTTTTTTTTTTTGATGAATATGCAACTGATTCGAAATTAAGTGGCTTAAAAAAGAGCAAATTTTATTTTTTGGAATGTTTAAAAGCAAAGAACTAACCGTATAAGAAGACTGATTCCTCAAAACTGAAAAATAAATTAAATTTGTCAATTATAACAAAAAAATATTAATACAATAATACAATAATAAGTACAACAAGTTACCATTCAAATAGCCTTTTTAATAACTCACTAACTTTAAGCAAAATTATTACCGTGTGATTGAAAAAATGAACAAGAACAATAATTGACAAATGGAAGACAATGATATGAAAACTGACTGGAACTTGATAGTACCTAAAAACTTCCATAAAACTATTTTATTGAAATATTTTAAATATTTTATCCTGAAATAATTTACTTCAACACCCTCACCTCATAAATGAATCGCCCAGTTTGCTCATCGTATAAAACATGAACGTTACCATTATCAGCAAGTGAAAGAGCATCCAGCACATAATCTCCAAGCAAATGGCACAACATGAAATAAGCGCATTTTGAAAAATAACCGAAAAAAAACCAAATTCTAAATACATTTAAGGTTTTAAATAATATAATAATGAATTATATCATCACAGCCAATGATAACCAATTCATTTCTTCCAGCAAACTGGCCAAGCTTGGAAATATTTTACTTCAGCCAAAAAAAGCTTGTGAAAGTACAAGAAAATACTAAATAACTCGCAAAAAAATACTGTGATAAATACTATGAAAAATAGATGATTTAAATGGTTCAGCTAAAAAATACAAACTTATATGAATTTTATGAACTCTAAAAATATGAACTTTAATATAATAAAAAGTTTAATAAAACTAACGGCACAAAACGCTGAACAAATTTATTTCGACTTTCACCACTATCATCACGATTCACAGCAGCTTCACTAATTCGGCTACCTATTTCAGCCAATGCTGCATTGATGTTTTGAGATAATAAAAGACGATTTCTTCTATTAAAATCTTTATCAATCATCTAAAACGAGTTTTCAAAATAAATTTCTACAATTTCCTTCTCAATATATTTTCTACATTTTTCTTTTTAATATATTTCAGAAAATAGTGTTTCAAATTTTTATAATCCATAATATAGAATCATAAAATGCAACCCGAGGGAAGGGAAGATTCCCAACAATTATCAACTTGAAAATAGATATACATTTAACCTTTTATAGATCATTGGATTAAAGAACTGCACTAAAGAGAATGAAAGAGAATATTGCCGCTTCCATTGTATGAGCTAAATACGAGCACTTTGATACCTATCTTGATGCCAATTTGCGAAAGAAAACTCAAAGAATTTTAGCTAAGAAAACGGTTAAAAAACTTTATTAAAATTTTCTAAAAATCAATAACCAAGAGAAATAGTTATCTGAATCTAAAAGCAGATTAGGAAATCAAGAATAAATCAAGTTCACTTTTCACATTTATTTATATTTGTCAACTTAATATAAAGGAAAAAAAAGATCAATAAGGATCAATAAAAAAGTGTTTATACAAAACAAAAAATAAATGTAAAATTTCGAAAAAAAATAAATATTTAATATTTTGGGGAATCTTCCATACTTATGATACATATACACCAAACCATTTAACATTCAATATTTATATATTCAAATATATCGAATCTTTCAATCGAATGACGACGATTCATTTGAAACAACCTTTAATATAAAATTAATAAAAATTAGTAGCAATTTAATAGTAAAATAAAATGCTCTAATTTTGCTTCATTATATTTTGAATACATACGTCCAAAAGAAATTTCATCAAAATCGCTTTAATCAAAAAGGAACATGAATGGAGAAAAAATGCTATCATCATAGTATGTGATATATATTAATCAACTGGAATTAGAACCACCATATTTACTATGTAATTATGTAACGTACAGTTTAATTAGTTAATGCGACGAAATATTCTTCATAAAGGATGATAAACTTAAAATTCTATTCGAAAATAATCGTTTATTACTACATTGGAAAAACTTGTTGATTTTAGGAAAAAGCACAGAAGCACAGGAATTTAATTTCGAAAATAATTTTTTAAGAAAACATGCGATTTATAAGAATTGGTAATGAATAAATAAAACTTTAAATAAAACTACAAAACAATGATTTTATAAAAGATCATTGGTCTTATCGAGCAAAAACTTGCAAATCAATATCTGAGCTCTAATCGAAACAAAACCATTTGTAAACATGTAAACTAATATAAACTGTGTTCAAAATCCTACGGAAATAAACTACTCATATTCCTATAAACATTCTGTAAATATTGAAGTTAAAATTGAAAAATTACTTCATGATTAGGTAAGATGATATAACGGTGATCAATATTCTCACATTCCTCAACTGTTGTTCCATTAGCCAAAAAATATTCTTCATCACTATCATTACGATAACGAGATTTTCGCTGACGTGGTCCTAAAAATAAAAAAAATTCAATATTCAAAAATTCAATACAGCATACTTTTAAGCTCTTTTATAAAAAAATTTATAAAATTTTAAGTTTTTACAGAAATTAAAAATTAAAATATACCACGCCTTTCGCCTTCTCGAATGTGATTATTTATTATATGCCGATCGAGATTGCGTTTAGTGGTACATGAATAGTTGCATTTTGGACATATATAAGGTTTTTCACCAGTATGCGCCCTGACATTAAACTCTATTTAATGCAAATGAAAAACAAATGAAATAAAAATTAGTTATAAAAAATCAAATCAAAAAAATAAGAAATAACCTCAAATGAACTTTAAGAGCAGATGTAGTTCTAAATCGCTTTGTACAATAATTACACTCAAAAGGCAATTCGCCAGTGTGTATACGATAATGCGTACTAAAATTATGACGATAAAGAACAAGACCACATGTAGGACATTCCATTTTGGGACGATATAAATCATCATCAGCGTTTGCTAACGCTCCAATCACTTTACCATTGGAATTCGGCTCTATAGTCGAGAATATAACTGTAAAATAAAAAAAAACGATAAATTATGAATATTTTTATGAATTGGCCTGGTAAGTCTAAATCAAACGCCTTAAATTAAATATAGAATATAGAACATTTTTAATGAAACAATCATTTTTACATTTATTATATATTTGCTACCTTTCTAACATCATCAAAAATATAAACACAATATAAAAAAATTGAATAACAAAGATACGCGAATCAGGTAAAGCAACATCCTCTTCAATATAATCCGATGTCGTCTCTACATTACCATCATTCAGCAACTCATTGCTGTGATTAACAGATTTTTCAACCGATATTACCAATTTCAAACCATCCGAATTTTCAACTGTTCTTGAGTTTCCAACTTCTACGATTGTGCTTAAAGGCCTAAATAACAACAAATAATGATATAATTCCTCATTTAATTTTGGTTAAAAATTTAATTTAATTTTGGTTAATTTTTTTCCAAGCAATCCGCTAAATGACTTTTGATTTTTAAATAATGAAGAAACTAGAGGGAATAAATCACCTGTTGCAAGCATCAGACTTTTGTGTTTCATACATACAAGGAGATGATGAACTTTCATAATGAGTACAGTCCGTATCCACTGCGAGACAATTAAGCGACTGAATATTTTGTTTATAAGCATCACGAATGGCTGTACCATTATCTACTGTTGTTTTAATCACTTCTGAACACAGCTTTGGAAGAGATTCAGCCTCAAGAAAAATAATCCAGTTCAGACAAACCTTCATTTTTCTAGAACTATTTCATAAGATTAACAAATATAAAGCAAATAAAATGAAACTGTACTTTGATTGAAATTCCTGATTGTGTTAATAATGTCGGCCTTGCATCTCTTAGAAATGGCATATCAGCGAAAGCGCTATCAACTTCATTTTCAAAAGCCTCTAGAACGCAATATTCGGTATGCTCATATAGCTCTTCTGCTCTTCGAAAATTTTTATGACATTCAGTGCACATGAAAGGTTTGCGATTTGCCGTTGGAAATCGCCAAGATTTATTATAACCATTAGTCGAAGACACAACATTTGATGAAGCAGCCATATGTATATCAGGCATTTATATAGATTTCATGGAGTTCTGAAAACACCATGCAAAAATCCCAAAAGAAAAAATAACTCTAAATTAACTCAATAAAAAAATTCCCAATAAAAAAATTTCGCAACCACTTTTTTCAAAAATCGAGTGCTGACTGATGACAAGAAATTCGGATTTTTTTTCAAATTTTTGAAGCAATTTTGTTTGGAATAATAAAAAAATATTTTTGAAGAGAACAAACTAGAATTATGGATCTGAAAATTCAAATAACTACGGCAAATACCGTTTTGTGAAACAATAAAATTCATGATATTTAAAAATAATTCTCAAAAGCTTTTTTTATTATATCAATTTTCCAACTTTTTCAACAGTTTTACACCGATATTTACCATTTCCATTACAAAACATGGACATACGAAATAAAATTTTGGATATTAAAATATGAAAACTTTAATGAATATCAATTAATAAATAATATCACTGTAAATAAATAAATTTGGGTAAATGTCTCATAAAAGATGTTGCAAATCATTGTTTGCGCCCAAAGCTCCAATCGATGGCTCGATTCTATGCCGCCCTCAAGCATTCATGCAGAATAGAGCAGAATTGAGCTGCTCATACCATTCAAAGAATATAACAGATAGCACAGAAGCCTGGCACAAACAAAGTTAAAAGTGTTAAAAGCAATGCATAGAAAACATAAATTTGTTGAAAGAAAGTTATATTAACTCGAATCATTTATTTTTCACATGTACTGAGAAATGAAAAAATGAAAATTCAAAGGTAATTAATTACCGCTTTTATGGACTTTTGTGGCATGGGAGGGTACTGTCGCCGAACGATTTTTGTAGAATTACAATCCACGCTGCAGACATTGGAAAATTCTACGAGAATTACTTGAAAAAACAAAACAATTTTTGATTCTTATATAAAATGGATTGGTGGTTTAGTGGAAAATAAATCCATGGATTCACTTGAAAATAGAAAAGAAATCAACAGATATATACAAGATAAGCTGAAGATATCGAAAAAAGAAAAGTGTGATAAATGATAGCTGGACAAGACTAGAAAGAAATGAGATGAAATTAGCTACAAATATCCTAAAAACGATTTCACATAAATATCTCGAGGAATTGATGGAAGTCCACTCGCACGAATTAAAAATAAAAAAAATAAAGTAGTCGACCTAAAAAATAGACCTTTTGCATTCAAGTCTGACGAAAAATGTGCCCAATTGAGTGGAAAAACTGTTTTTCTTCTCATCGACCTCAGATGATGAAATGCCAGAAAACGCCAAAACTTTATTTCCCATAAGGACATTTTAAGAACTTAATGACATAGACATATCTAAAAAGTGAATAATTCAGACGAATGTAGTATCATTAAAGAAAAAAAAAAAATAATTTTTCATAAAGATGCGAGAATTGCCGCTGAGGAAAATATTAGGAACCACCGCTCTATAAAAATGACAATAATAAAATAATAAATTAATTAAAATACTCCTGCTTTCGAATCAGAATTTGTTGAAAATCCATCACTTTCCAATAGCTTTAAAAAGGAAAGATCTCTTAAGTATGTTTCTTTTTTTTCCTCGTTACTTTCTCGGGCATCCAAACTTTCTTCGAACTGTGTATAATCTAATTTTTCATCATGATCTGCATCCATTTTCATAATTGACGTTATATCAGCACCAAGGGACTAAAATATAAGGTGTATTCGAATAAAACCAGCAAATCTTTTAAAAAATAAAAATTAATTTCAGAAATCTATAAGAAAAATTTAAAGCTTACTTTATCCGTTTTGAGTTCTAATTGAGAAACGAATGGGATTTCATCAAAATAACACTGTAATGCTTCACGCCCAGCATCCAAATGAAGCCGAAATCGCTTGGTAACATCCTAAAATCCTAAAGAAATTACTGTATCTCCCAATAAAAAAATCCTAATTATATTAATTATAAATGGTTAATGGAAAATACCATTCAGACTGGAAATAAAAAGATAAATGCGATGATATAATTTTTTATCAGAATCATATCCACAAAGATCCGAATGATAATAGCATAAATATTTGCATGAAAAGGAATTAATTTTTTGCGGAAAATCTTCCTTTTATTCTTTAAGAAAATATCGCATCTCATTATTTTGAAAAAATTCTTGAACGTAAAAAGAAATAACTGAATGATGTGATTAATTAAAAAAGATCTTGGCAATATCCTTTAATGCTTAATAATATACCACTCTATTCTAAACAAATGGCTTTTCATTTTTCTGATTGAATACAAATTTTTATACTATAAGCGTCAATCTTGGTTAGCCTCGCTCTGCTGCCTTATCGGAAAGGAAAAATTTTGCCAGAGCGACGTCTGGCGAAAGAACTATAAGTAAGTCGCCAGCGCCATCCAGATTTAAAAGATAGATTTATTTCTGCCACAGGTTTTACGCTCTTATTCTTGCCATTCAGCGACATTGCCACTCGACTGGATTCCAACCCGAGCCATTCTCGATTTTTGATGACAATCACATTGCCAATAAGCCACCAATCCACCAAATAAATGTAATTACGAAATGAATATTGAGGTTAGAATATTACCAACTTACTTTCGAGTGAAACAAGTGAAAAATATAGTAAAAGATAACAAAATTGCAAATTAAAATTAAAGATAATTGCTATGAAATTTATATTCTAACCTCAATTGACTTAATTTGTTGTTTTAACATCAACTGCAAAGTATCGCGAGCTTGAAGAGGTCGATACTCGTTGATTAGATGATGCATATTGATGAAAAGCAATCGGAGATTATTAATTTTTTCCAGCCTTTCTGGATGATTTGGACACCTAAAATTTTTGGTCAAATAGTTAAAAAATGAACTAATTTTTCCTCGCCATCTAAATAAAAGCAATAATATTAATAATGAAATTTCTTTGAATCTTATTATAATATATATTATAATATATATATTATAATAACCTGACAAGAATATCAAGCAAATCGAGAAATGCTGCAATAGTACTTCGATTGAGTTTCTTCAATTCACTTCTCCAATCACCAGAACTCGAGAATAATTGCTGCATTTTCTGTGATTGAAGTGACCTTATCATATCCTTAAAATAAGATTTCTCACACAACTGAAAAAACACAAAAGGCCTCGAACCCGCTCCCAATTATAATATTTGAGATGCTAAGTAAAAAGCTGGAAAAGGCAATACTAGCGCGATGGTTGCGGATGTTCGAAGAGGATCGTACTAAAAAATCTGAGCTGCCCTGAAGGCCGCTATACTGAAGCGGAAGTGGAAGAAGAAATAAGATAGGATGGGATGGGACTAACAGAGTTTGAAAAATAACCTGAAACAGAATTCGCCGAAACCATTAAAGCTCATACACACTAAAGAATCCATTTACATGCTAACATATCATTTTGCAATTTGCTGATAAAATTTTATCGCACGGAAGTCGCAGCTGTCGATATAATTCGTTGTTGAGAAAAAAGCAGAAAAATAACTGGATAAAATGAAGAAAAGAACTGCGAGAACCTCTTCGAAATTATAATCCTCGCCAAAAACGGTGAATTCGCATGGAATCGGCGGCGGTGGCAAAACATTTTTCTTTGCGATATTCTCATTCGTGTACTGCTTGGCATATTCGGGCGGCTGAGGGAACGGACTAACGCCAACTTGTATCGCACTCGACATTCCTGTAATTTCCAAAAGGAACAGAATTAATCCTAAAAATATAAAAATGCAATTAATTAGATGCAACCATTTGAAATTCCGCTTTTAGTAAATTCTGCTCTAATTTCTCGAAAAATTTTAAATTTTATAAAGAACCCCGTGTACTAACTCCTAATTGTCGTGAAATACTTTGATAAAATATGATTTTACGCAAATTTTTTTTCCTTTCTGGTAGAATGGCTTAGTGAGTTGATATTCTCATTGTCGATGCTGGCGATCTATTTTCGGCAGCTAAACTTCTTTTTACAAAAATCCAGGTGGTGCTGGTGGTCGACCTGTGCTTCCAAAGCCGAATGGCTCCCTCGCCAAATCTGTTTGCTCCATATGCAAATCAGCGAGCCAAATTAGAAACGGCGCACATGGAAGAAAGACACACTCAAAATTTTTGCTGAACTGGAAAAAAGGTCAACCAGCCACCAAGTAATTAAGAAGCCATAAAAAGATGAACGCATTTATAGCCAAAGCTAGAATTATGGCCCTGGACAAAAAATTACGGCTTGGCACTGTTCCATTTAATCGAAGCACCTCTGCTCGATGGTGCATACATTATGTGTACCTGTTTGCGTCAGAGGTCGGTAAAGTGGATTGAGTTAGCCGACTATGTGCCGTCAAGTTATTTCCGAGCAAATTTGCTAGCGGCCATTTGTATAAATCTCTGAGGTGTACAATTTAATTTTCCAACTCTGTCAGGCGTACATTAATTTTATCTCTGCAAATGAGACTTTCCAGCCGGTCGTTCTCTTCTTCTAGCTTTCCACGAAGTGGAGCATTTTCGAAAGAGCTGAATCTCGCGAAGTAGGAGAGTAATTTCGGCCTCGAAGGAGAACTCTGGATTGATGCGGTTTATTTTCTCGGCAGTCCACTGAATTTTCGGGAGTCTTATGCTGCACCAAAATGCTGCACTAAAAGCAGTTCTCTTTCTCCTCTTTCTCAAAACAAGAACACAATTTAGAGAACATCCATAGAGAGTGTGAGAAAAACCATGATTTGCACGATTCTCGCATCACAGCACTTGGATGCCTTTTATGAGCGTTCGTGCCTGCTGGCTGCTTCATCAAATGCCAGTCTGTGGACCTACATTTCCCTTCAGTTGGTGGTTGGTGGTTATCCGGCATTTCGATATATAGCAGTGTTGCCATTGCAGTGTTCAGGCTGGTTGTTCTACTTGTTATCATTAATTCGTGTCTCGTTTTCTCTTTGAATTCTGTGTGCCAACGCTTACATCTTCGGCTCTGAGACTAGCATCGTCAGCATAGCTGGCTGATGTCCGATTTTAAAATGCCTATGTTCCTCCTATCCAACTTCCCCAAATAGGTCGAATGAATAAGTGAAAATTGCCATCTCTGCCGTATTTCTGCGCCAACTTCGCCAATATGTTTCGCTTTGTGCCGATACAATTAAACGTTCCCACATTCGAAGCGTATATCGCATCAGCGTATATCAACAATAGCCTATGGTTTCAGCATCTGGCGTCGCTTTCCCCCACAGAGTCTAATCTACGTTGGATAATCCTAATCTTTTCCTTACTAATAGTACCATAGTTCATACTTCTTTCTCTGTCTTTTTTGGTATTGAAATGCAGTTCTCCCCATCGGTTGTGTTTGTCCTTCAGATTTGCCATACTTTGGACGAAGCCTTAAGAATCCTAATTGGTTTTTCTTGCTTAATTTCAATGAATATGCTACCCCTACACTTTCTCGACTTGGTAGTGACTGATCTGACTTCATCTTTTAGTATTAGAGGTTCTTATTAGTAAGAAATACCTTCTTAATCTTGATGCTGATCTTTATATAGCATTTTAGTATTTTCCTTTGATTTCTTTACAATTCAAGGCATTTAAAATATATCTCCATCTTTTAAAAGATTGTCTATTTTTTAAATTGATATTTTTTGTAATTTTCATAGTTTTCATCCATTTGTTTTCCCCACTTCCTTAATTTTCTGCAACCTCATTCCTAAAATTTGTCCTTAACTACTTCATTTGAATCCATTCCGTAATCTCTTCTCATTCTCTATTCATGAAGTTCAGGGCCACGGTTTCTCTCTCAACCTCCTTTTAATAAATTTAAACAGTAAATTTAGTTTAAAATTTTGTAAATAATCGATATGATGTTAATGCAATGAAACGCAATCTCATAGAAATTACTGGTTATTTCAATTACTGGTTGGTTTATCAAAAATTTGACATACAATAATGCAGAATAAAACATTTACGAAATAGTGAACATGTTACTGAATAAAGTAATATGCGATTCGTATGATGAAAAAAAAACCGATAAACATCCTGATGGCCCGATAAAGTCCTTGGCCTTTTGGCTCTGCTTCAATGAAATCAAGTTTTAAAGCATTTACATAATTGTAAAACCGCACAGAGAAATCTATTTTGCATTTTTATGAAACGTGGTTGATTAATTTTACCCCAATTCTCTAAGCATAAATTGAATTTCTTTAGTATAAAGGAAAAATAAAAAGAATTAATGATTATCTATGATATTACTGAGGACCAATGTACATTCACTTTCACCAGCTATTAATGCTAAGACGAAAGTGGCTTATTATTCGGTGAAACAGGGACCACCAATTTGTGGAAGATGAATTTCAATAAAATCTGCTCGTTGTTTAATCCAATTCGAATTCAAAGTCTTAGGCATTTGATCCATTCATTTAAATCAATGGATTTCTTGGCTTCGAAATCGAAATTTACGATATTGGAGAATGAAATTTTAATTCAAACTAATTGAACCGAATTTTTGCGAAATCTTTCAACTTCAATTAATCTATATATAACATAATATTTACATAAAAATTAGCGAATTAAATTGGAGAATTTGAATTTTTAAAATCAAAAAAATTATTTCAGCAAAAAGAAATAAGCGAAAGTAAAAAAAATTTCGGCAATAAAAAATCCTGATAGTTTTTGGTTTAAATTCCTAATTTTTAAGGCAATGGTCGTCAAACTATCCAATCCTCCACGGATTTCCGAGGGTTCATGACAATTTCCAAGAGATATGTAGAGACCTAGGGATCTACATTTTTGCATCTAAGGCAGATAGATAAGGTTAAGGAAAATAAATGTAATAAAATTCTTCAATTATGTTCTATCTTTTATATCCCTTGTCAGCCATGGTCAGTTAATTAAAAAATTCAAGTTAATTGGGGATCTGTGGAATTTTATGGCACCATCATCTAGGAAAAGTTTGACGACGATGGATTTTAAATTCTATATTATTTATATATTTGTCTACAAATTCACAATATAAACAATAGCATCCAGCAAAATCAATTGTAGGAATGTTTGTACGATAGTAAATATTTAATATTTGTACTGGCAGTAGATTAAGGAAAACAATTGGTGCTAATGGTGCCAGAATATGTTATCGAACGAGAGTTAACATTTACTACATACGCAATGTATCTAATAGAACAGGGCAATTCAAGTTTAGATCACATATCACCGAAAAATTCAACGATCCAGTGAGATAGTTTTTCTGACACAAGGCTGACAAAAATAAGTAAAAATGATAATTATTAATTTAACAAAATAATTGAAATTTTCCCAAAAATCATCTATTAAGAATCTCAAAAGAATCGAAATCTATGAAATTTATGTAGCTTTAATAAAGAACAAAATAGTGAAATGAATCAAAGAGATCTATGCTTTAAAAAAAGATGTTAGGATAGCCGCGCGTTTTATATAGATACTAAAGTAGTCAAGGTTCTGGGGACCCAAATATATTTCTATATACACTAAGGAATTTTCTCGATAAAATTCCTAACTGCAAGATAACGCAGAAAGCCTAATCAAAAATGGTGAGCAAATAGTCAAATTATTATAATGGATACAAAGGAATCCAAAAATTACATAAAAATAATTCTAAAATATTTAGAATCATTCATGTCTTTGTTTATAAATATAATGCCTAAGCCTACAATGTACAACAGCAATTTTTATAATAATCGAGCTATAATTGATCCATCTGAAAAAAATTAAAGCTGAACTGAAGGAATAAAAAAATACAATAAAAAATAGCACGATAGAAGATAACAGAAACAGAATAGAAAAAAAAGATAAAAATTAATAGAGAGAATACATACTTTTTGAGCAGCTTTCTCCTTTTCTATCCTTAAACTTTTTAAATATCGTAAAGCCCTTTTAGCGGCAGTACATTTAGCGATACGATAACTCCGACCCATACCGGTGAATCGGCACTTCCCATGTATATCAACCGTTACTCGAATTTTACCAGTGGCCAAATTACGTTCCAATTTTCTGCAAATATTTTTTAAGGAACCAGAAATATTTTGCCAGAAAATTTACGACAGAGTACGATACAGTAAGTCGCAAGCACCATTTGACTCTAAAAAATAATTCCCATCAGAAGTAGAGCTCCGGCGCTGCTTCGAATCACATATTGATAAATAATGTTTAGCTCGAGTGAGATTCTGGTAAAAATTCTTATATCGTTAGAAGAAAAATGAATATTTATGTTCCATTTTGAATTGTATAATATAAATAAATTCTTTATTACTAACACCACACCAGCATATTCTCCTCTTGGCTTTTATAAATAAATTGACAGTTTCAGGCAAAAAAGTTTCGAGTTTTAGGCAATTTCTCAAACAAAGATACTGGGAGTAAGCTCATTGCTTATGGCCTTGAGAATGGAGTCGGCGAGTCAATTAGGCGATAATCGGAAACTGTTCCGCTTTCTTCACTAGGCAAGTACAGCTCGGAAAATGGTAATGAAATGGTAAGGTATAGCAGTGGTACCTGCTAAGAGAGGAATGCTAAGGAACACCTCATAAGATGCAAAGAATTCTTTGACGTCAAATTTAACCATCTGTTGCATCGGATATAATTACTTCGCCCGTTGAGCCATATGTTTGCAACTGCAAACCGCCAACAGAAGAGGAAATAACCTCTGCCATCCATAAACTTAAAGCTAAAAAAACTCCTGGAAAAGATGGTCTTTGAGTTGAATTTTTTAAATTTTGTCCACAGTCCTTCATATCACACCTTCAAACAAATGTATTTTCTGGTATGGAAAAAAATAATAAATGGAACAATTCCTATTTCTTAAAAAAGATGATAGGCCATATAATGCGGTAATTATTGAGGAATTAGCCTACTAGATAATATGGTAGCAGAATAGGTCCTAAACAAGCTGAATTTAGACCGGGACACAGTTGTCCTGTGCAGAATTCACAATAAGGGTGTTGGAACATCACTTCAAATACCAGCAACCCACTCTCGTTGATTCTGATTTTGTTTCATTTTGCAATACTCTCGATTTAATTGATAGAACAGCACTTTGGATAACGGAGAAGATTATTCTATTCTATTTTAAATCGATGCATGTTTGTATTGGGAACTGACAGACTCTTTCGAAATAAGAAATGATATCCGTCAAGGTTGCGTTCTTTCAAATATTCAATTATGCGATAGACTGGATAATGGACACCGCTTTTCGACAGTCAAGAGATGTCCAAATCAACCCAGAGTAAATATTATCCTTGAACATTATTCTTGAATATTATCCTTTGCTTATGAAACAGTTCTTTTTGTCGACAGTTACAATGAAATAAAAATAATGTTAAACAATTGTCAACAACTGTAGAGAATGGGACTGATTCACTGAAAAAAAAAACGAACCTTCTCGTCTTGAACACAAGAAGCTGACAATACACTTATTTTTATCAATTCATTGTCAATTGAGGAAGTACCAAAAAAACTTTTAAATATCTTAGATCCACTCTAATTCCAAATGAGTTTGACGAAATCTTTATGGAATCGTCGCTGTATCATTGTAAAAACGAATGCCTATATCTACGTCGATATATCTTACTACATGCCTATATCTTACTACATGGCTGTGACCATGACCGATAAGAAGGCAAGATAATATCACCACTCATATCTAAGATACATTTTATATGTTCATCGAGCGGATAAAATCTCACATGACTACATCCATCTTAAATGCTACTTACATTAATACTACTATCATAATGCGTCGTCTTCGCTGGTTAAGGAACGTTCTTCCTCCCCCAACAACAGATGATATAATTCACCACATATCTTCCTTGCAAACCACTCTGATGGATGGGGGTCAAATTAGAGGAAGACCAATCAAGATCTGGAACAATCAAGAAAGATTTTGAAAGTGTAGGTGGATCAACGATATAGACAGTGAAAAAAGGAATGGCTTCCATTACTGTCAACGATGCCATCAGACCGGAAACCCTTGTAAGCCAGCCTAACTGGTAGTGGTGATAAGTTTTAGAAGAAAAAATTGAATCCTTGCAGGTTTAAAATAAACTATCGAAATTTCTTACGAGAATCTGGCGCTATCTGGTTCTAATTCAAGTAGTTCACGAATAGGTGATTTCGGTGGATTATTACAACATTCTTCGATCGTTTCCTTCATTAGGTTATAAAAAATGCGCCATATGGTATCGAGGTTTCTTCCACTGTCCTATATGAGAGTTTAAAGTTTCCGAGATTTTTATTCACTCTATTATATTATAACATTTTAACATTTTAAAATATAATGCATATACCAAATAAATAGCACCGGCGACCGATTCAAATATATCTCCCATAGCTTTAGGAACTTCGATATCTTCCTCTTCTCCTTCATCAATTTCATCCTCAGTCGTGACCATATACATCTGAAAAGAAAAAATTCGAAAAAAATATAAATAAATGGAATTAAACCATTTTGGGAAAATATTGATAAAAATTTTTGGAAAATTTGGAATTGACGGTGCGACATATATTAATAAATAATTGTGAATTTCTAAGAAAATATTTCAAATTTGGTTTATACCTCTGCATTGAAATTTGTTTGAGAAAAATTCTTTTCTTTACAAAGTTCAACGAATTTTTCAATCATGAAATGAAGCCCAGGGCACATTGCAACAAAATGCTGAAATTGGAGCTTATTGAATGAAAAAAGTCATTTAATGCGATTTCATGCAATGAATGAAAAAATGATAAATCTTTAAAAACCTGTCGTGTTAATAAAAAGCTTATTATCATTATCACTATATAGAATTAAAATCTCGAAATAATTTTGATTATATTTCGATGAGAACACTCATAATATAATAAAAAGGAGCAAACTGTAAGCGATTAAATTAAAAATTTCAAGGGAAAATCAAAAATTTTTAAAATAAAATACAAAATACAATACAAAATAAAATACAAAGCACCTTATGAAAATTATACTTCACTGCAAGTGAAGCGAATATTGTATTGTTGACGAGTGCAGAACGAAGATCAGTCAAAACACCAGGACTATACTGACGTGGATGCTGATAAAGAAAACGAGTAATTACGTAATCAAGAACTGCATCGCCGAGAAACTCTAGTCGCTGAAAACATAAAGTTAGGCTTCTTCATAGCGAAATGGGCCAATCAAGACCTGAATTGATACGGTCAGGAAAGATTTTGAACGTATAGGTGGACTAGCAGTACATGGACTTAGTCGATAGAAAAAGGAATAGCTTCTATTACTGTCGACGATGGCATTAGACTGCGCCGCTTGGAAGCGTCTTACCCTTGTAGCCATTGGAGCCAGCCTAATCAGTAACGGTGAGAGCTGTTAAAAGAAGAAGACTTCTCCATATCACTTTACAAAACGATTTTATCGATTAAAAAATATCTCACCTGATAACAACCCGTAATACGATTTCTGTAATATGAAGCGTGCGTAAATGCTTGTAATAAATAAGCTCGATCTTTGAATTTATACCCTATAGAATTTTCCAATTTGTTGAACTGAAATTTTACCCAAAATCCTTTCAAAATCTGAGTGGACAAATCTGGCTGAAAGGAATCATGATAAAAAATTTGCATAATAAAACATAAATAGAAGATAACATTGAAACAAATAAATATACCTGTTCAGAAGTATCTAAGAACTTCAACAATGGAGATTCGATTTCAACTGGACTAGTAAGAACTTTTAATCCAAGCCATTTCATAAATTTCAACGCGCATGTAGGCCCTAACTGTAGCAAATGAGCACCAATTAATGCTTCGACACTATCGGCTATAGATTTATCACAGAGACTTTGTTGAGTTAGTGTATTATATGCTAATGGGCATACATCATCTGTTCCATCCCAATTTATATGTTTCGACTGCAATAAAAATTTTTTCATTTCTAACATTTAAATATCGAATATTTAGCAAACCCACCTTAGGAATATGAATTGTTTCAACCCCATGAACAACTTTCCGAATTTCACTATTAGAATCATCTTCATCCCAGCCAGTCCTAGCTTTGATCTGCAATATCATTAAAATTGCATTTTTTGAAAAATTTATTAATGATAATTTATTATTAATGAAATAAATAACAAAATATAAGAAAATGTGCAAATGAAAAAAATTTACAGTCTGCTCATATGGGATATTCCCTTCAAGAACTTTTTCCATCAACAAATCCCTTTCTTCAGCATCCTCCTGATTGGGCGTTTTAAAATCGGTTATTGGTGCATAACTATAATTGAAAATCTATTCTTTTTTCTTTAATAAATAAATATAGCCATTCATGGCATTAGTCCATTATTTACTAAGATTACAAAGACTTCTAAGCAAATAGTCAGTCGGGGAAGAAGGCACATGAGGCCGTTGAGATTTCATTTTCAATTTTCTCTTTTAAATAACGAGGCATATTACCGTTTCATGATTACTGAACTTAATCATGCAAACTTCCTAAAAGACCACCTATTCCTAATAAAAACTTTATTATTAACTTTACCATAAATCATTATTAATTTTATTTTGTTAATCATTCTATTATCTTAGATCTTTGGGCCTAAAAATTAAAACATCGGCAACAAAACAGCAATTCTATTCTAAAGAAAATAGTCGAAACAATCAAACATTGAATAAAAAAGACAAACCATGGAGGCAACCAACCATCAGATGGATCAAATTTCGTTCCAATTATCAAGGAAGGAAGATTTCGTTTTTTGCCTAATCGATAAAGGTTACAGTTAGAGACCTAAAGTAAACCAATATCACGATAAAACTAACGAAATAATTCAATTTCTTTAGCTTTTTCCTTCAAACAAATTTTTAAAAAATATTTTCAAGTCACAGAGGAAGAAAATGATGAAAAGAATCGCATATTGTACCAGAAATCTTATTAATTTTCATTATATTAAATTTTAAAACAAATTTTTTTGAAATTCAATTGGACGATTTTATCAACAAAATTTATATGACTCAAAAATCGGGATTCAAATAATAATTAGTGAAATCCATTAAAAATGAAAATTAAACTGCAAATAAATAATGGCTGTAAAAAACCTTGCTAAAAAACCCTTTTTCTACGAACTACAAATGAAAAATAAGGATAAATTACCCTAAATGTTCTCATATAACTCGATTATAACTCTGCAGCCCCTAAAAATTAAATTAAGGATGAAATATCAATTGCGATACCTCTTTGCTCCTTGCGAAGCTTAATTTTCCTTCATGTTGATCTTTGTTTGCATGATATAGATAGTCAGTAACTGCAAATTTTAGAAATGAATCGCCTACTGTTTCCAATCGTTCTAAATTAATTCCATCTGCTGCACTCGATAAAGTGAGAGCCTAAACATATTTATGAACTAGATAAATATAAACAGGTAAATAAAAAAGTAGCCAAAAGATAACAAAATACTTTATTTCATTTAATTTCATTTAAATTGAGATAATCAATACTAATTCATAAATAATAAAATTAAAACCACGAACAAATAATATTTACAAAGATAATTTTAAAATAACATTCAATCTTTATAAGATTTTGTAAATGGAAAAATAAAACTCTACGACCTACCGCAGAGTACAAACTTTTCGGTAAATCACTCGCAATTAAACTTTGAATCATGAAATAGTAAAAATACTTGAAGTAGAATGCAAGGTGAAACACCATAAGGCCGTTTATCCAAGGTATCTTCTTGAAATGAAAAAGTCATCCATTTAAGTTCTGGTGAAATAACTTCAACCTAAAAATAAAAAAGAAAACTGAGACAATATCAAGAAATTCTTAAAGGCCACAAAAATTTCTTAATTTTTAAATTACCATTCCACATGGCGGGTGCTTGAGCACTCTCGAGTGGCAAGATTTTTCTTTCGTATCTAACAGTGAAACTACTATTTAAAAATTTTATGCTGGAGATCTATCTTTACTATCTATCAGTAACTTCTATCCTCAGCAAAAATTTTTCCTATTAAAAGCCAATAGAGCAAATGTAACCAGAAACTATGAGCGCTAACCGCTGATTTATTTAATTCCATACTCCAAATGAATTGGTAATACTTGATAAAGTAAGAGATATAAGTCGAAAAACTATATTTAAGAAGAAAAAGACGTTTCGAAGAAACAAAATATCAAAATATTAAAAAACGGTAGAAAATATTACATGACCTTCTCAGACAAGAAATTAAACTGATTTTCTGTTCGTTTGCAATCATATAAAAGAAATTCTTCGAGATTTTCATTGTCATTCACTTCAAGATGAAACATTTCATTCTAAATATAGGTATAAGAGGAAGAAGAGAAAAAAATTAAACAGTCGAAAATCACTAATAATGATAAAATTTTGCAGATAATCAAAAACCTTCGCAGCAGTTTTAGCCATACACTCAACAAGCACAGAGTTAACGGAAAAACCAACAGGAATTAGAGTATAGGTTTCATCGAATGCATTATTCAGAATATTAAAATTTGACTCTTCTAAAAATTACTTCGTATGAGAACCAATCAAATATGATCATTCACAGATTAGCTGATTCTAATTCTGATCTAATAAAAATTAATATCAAAAGCTTATATATCAAAAATCACCAGCAATCAAATCAGAATCGTCATCGAGGAATTCCAAAAGATTAACACTTTCTTCTTGCTTTCTATTATTTGATGATGCATAATCATTACTCTCTAACTGCTCCATAGTATCCAAATATAACTTTGCAGGTTGCTAAAATGAACTTTTTAGCTTGTAAAAATGGAAATAAAGATAACGAAAACTAAATGAATTCTTTAAAGCTTTAAAATGATAAGATCAGTAGTAAGGAAATAGCTTCATCGATAAAAAAAAATTTAAATAGATGAGAATGACTCAAGATAAAGATATATTATGAAATATTTCGTTTAGTTTCATACCTGCTTTTTGCCTTTTGTGAGGAACAAGTTTTGACGATTCCAATTTCCGCATGTTTTGTCTGCCATTTTTGTTTTCGTCATCTCCTGCATTTGCTCTGCTGCATCAGTTGTATGAGAAGCAATATTCATTGCATTGGAAACATTACTTGCTTGAAAGCAAGACTCCATTCCCCAACTCATTTTTGATAAATCATCCATTAATGCACGACTATCAATTAATGAACCACCACTGGTCACTGACTGCAAAAGAAACAATTTGCAAGCAAAAAATACTTGTGAATTTGATCTTAATTTAATTATTTTAATCTTAATTTAATTATATCTATGATCTATGTTCATAGTAAAAGATTGGATATACCAGAGGTACAATTCCGCTCTTAGTTGGTTCTTCGAAAATTATGTGATCATCCCAGCCACCAGATTGTATATTTTCTCTTGGTGCAAATATGCTATGTATATTTTCCTCTAAAAACCGAGCAAAAAATAAAGTGCGATAGTTTAACATTAAGTAATTAGAAACTGGTCGAAAATTCATTTTTTCGAAAATCTATTCGAAAAATTCTACAAAAAAGTGAATATACAGAAATAAAACAAACGTCCAAGTCGTTCGTGAACGCTATTCATGAAATCAAACAATACAATTGCAGCTTCGCCTTCATCATCTGACATATCACCATGCTGTCTTAAAACTGATTCAGCAGACAGCAATCCAACCGTATCTGGCTAAACGAAAATTTTCAATTACAAATTACATATTAAATTAAATATTAAATTAAATTAAATTAAACATAATTAAATTATTACAAATCCAAAAAGAATAAAGTAAATTATAAGTATTTTGCTTTGGAATTCAAAAAGTAAAAAAATACGTTTTAAATATAAAAAAAAGTGCATGGTTCATGCTCTCATTTTATAATGCTCAGCAAAAATGATAAATCTATCTTTCGAAAATCCAGATTCTCTACTTCTAGCTCTAAATGACCTCCTGCTTAATCAGACAAGCGAACCAAGCAATCTAACTAGAAATGAGTATGCTTCAAAAAAAAAAAAATACAAGAATAATAGAACTCTTCAGCGGCAACAATTTCTATATTTCCAAATATGACCTGGAAGAAAAAAAAGAAAAAAATTTTCTAAATATTTTCTAAGCACATTCTGAACCATAGTAAAAAAAATAACTTCTGCCTCATTATGAAATGGTTTTGCATCAGCGGTAATAGGAATACTGCTGCCAGGCGATTCCAAATTAGAAGCTAATTCTGGATCCCAAACACCAATTTCAAAATCCAGCTAAAAGTAATAATTTAAGCAATAATACATAATCCACTTTCTTGAAGACATTTGGAGAGAAATAAAACAACGAATCGAAAAAATTCAGAATTTGAATAAGAAATTATACCATTTCGGGGTTGCCTGCTTCAGTTCTAGCAACGAATTCTTTTTCACGAGAGCTTATTTCGCTAAATTTTTGGACATAAAAAATAATGAAATATTAAAAATCAAATTGATATATTTAATTTGAGAAAAATTTTTGCAGCAAAAGTAAAAAATAACTGTTCTTTATTCAGTTCATCGATTTTTGTGACAGGTTTTACATCTGGTTCATCTAAAATAGTAGTATAATCCAATGGTTCCCACGTATAATCCTCAAGGATTTGTTCGCTTAATCCTAAAGCGTCTCGCATAATTGTGGCTCGTAATTCTTCAGCTAGCAGCAAAGTATTCATACTGAAATAAAAACTATAAAAATATAAACTATAAACTATAAAACTATAAAAATTATTGAATTATTGAAAAGATTACCGATGGAGAATGGTTGGTAAAGCTGCCGAAAGATTCCATAATGATGCTGGTATCGGATGCACATTTAATAATTCCGGCACAAGGATTTGTCGACTTGTTTCAGGTCTCTCTTCAAGTTGACGAATTTTAGATCGCGGAACAAGTCGAGGCATCAATAAATTCAAACGACTTAAAATTCAATAACTCAATAAATAAACGAATTTCGCATACAATTAAATGCAATTTATGATTCATTTCGCATTCAACTCTATGTATATCTAAGAATATATGTATATATATATATATATATATATGTATATACAAAATCTATAATAATATAAAATAATATAAAATAATTGTATGTCTTTGACAGGAGTAAACCTGTTATATTAAAAATCTGGATGGTTGCTGGGGACCCATCTGTGGCTCTACCCCAAGTAACTCTATGCTGAATGGGTCAGATAAACTTGATATGGCGTCCGCGTCTTCCGATGCGCATGATACTCCGAGCCGGTGGTACATGCGATAAGCATACAATTCGGTCTTAAAGTGATCCCAAGGCTGGTAAATAAAATGGGCTCTCAAACCAGGGTAATTGCTCGAAACCTATCAAGGGGAACAGCCCTCTGCACGCGCGGCGAGGTATTAGCGTGGAACGTTAGAATGCTTATGGACGTTGCAAACCAAGCGATCGGTGTCCACACCCTGTCTATATATCGTGTGAATATTGCTTGCTTGTCGGAGGTCCATCTTTCTCACTTTGGATCTCGAGTAATTATTAATCCTGGTTCGGAGCAGAAATACTGGCTATATCACTGTGATGCTTCGAATAACTCGGGACGAATTGGCGTAGCGATTGTTTGACAAGGCCCATTCTGCTTTGAAAACCGGTAAGCGAACGTATGGCTAATGCCCGTAAGTTCTGCAATACCCCGGTAATCAGTATCTCTGCTCCGACTATGAATAAGAATGTCTATGCTCCAACTCTGTCCGCAGATAACCGAGATAAAAATAAGTTCTATGCGGAACTTCAAATGCTAACTAACTGCTAACCGAAACATGACATGGTCATAATCGGGGGAGACTGGGATGCTTGCGTAGGTTATAATGCCGCTGCGATAACTTCATCAATTGGCAAATATGGCATAGGAGATCGGTGCGACAATGAGGAACGTCCTCTTCGTTATGCCGAAGAGCATGAACTTTTTGTTATTAATACTTCCGGCATCATAGAAAACATCTAGTCACGTGGAACACCCCGGACAACCAACACTTCAACCAGATCGATTATATTTTAGTCAGTCGCCGTTAGAAGAGTTCCGCATTAGATAGTCGTTCCTATCGCGGAAACGTGGAAACGGGCAATCTTCATGGATCTTACCATGTTATGGTTCGAGCCAAGATCCACATAAAACTGACAACTCGAAGAAAACAGCATCCCCCAAGATCCTTCAACTATCTCAAACTAAAAAATTCGGGGACAGTGAGCGCATTTCAACGGGGAATTATTGAAGCATCTCGATGGTATAACTATTAATGATTTCCTAGAATAGTAAACGAATATTGGTCCGAACTAAAGGAATTCTACAAAAGTTTCTACCACTTCCACGCTAAGGCATACTAGTAAGAAGTGCGCTAGTTGAGTATCGGAAGCAACCGTCCAATTATCTGAAAAAGCTGCCAAAGCACGAATGTCAGGTGATCCTGTCTACCGGGCGCTTCGAAGATTTGCAGTGAAAGCAGCAAGAAGGGACAGAAATCACTATTGAAGTGACTTAGCCTCAAGAATGGATGCGGCGGCTCGATTAAGCGACAATATGGAACTATTCTCCCTTCTTCATAAAGCAACTGATTCGGGGAACGATCGAGAAATTTTAAGAGATAGAAAAGGCGTACTGATCAAAAGTATTAAGGACCGCCTCATAAGATGGAAAGAACTCTTTGAGGCCAAACTTAACCATGAAGCGCCATATGTTGCCCCTGATATAGCTGATACGCTTGCGGAAGCATACGCTTGCAATTGCGAGCCTCCAACACAAGAAGAAATAATTTTCGTTATTCATAAGCTTAAGGCCAATAAAACTGCAGGAGAAGATGGTCTTCGTGCTGACCTTTTCAAATATTGTCCATCGTCCTTCATAACGCATCTTCAACAAATGTACTCTTTAGTATGGAAAAAAGGAATATTACCAGATGATTGAAGCAAAGCAATTCTCCCAATTCTCAAGAAAGGTGATAGGACATGTTGCGACAATTATCGAGGAATCAGCCTATTAGACGTCTCAGCAAAAATTTTTGCTTTCCTGCTATTGAATAGATTAATAGAAGTACGGGACAGCATGATGTGCCCTAATCAAGCTGGTTTCAGACCAGGGTGCGGTTGTGCTGACCAGATATTCACGTTAAGAAGAGTGTTGGAACATCCCTTCAAATATTTGTAACCCACTGTCACGTATTTCATCGACTTTGCCGTTGCCTTTGATTCAATTGATGGAAAGGCGCTCTGGAGCGTGATGGAAGGCCACGGTGTTCCAGAGAATATCATTCGATTCATAAAGGCATTTTATGAGCGCACATCGGGGGCAGGTCTGTGTATTTGGTGAGCTGACAAATAAGAACTGGTGTCCGTCAGGGCTGCATTTTTCTCCTACAGTATTCAACTATGCGATAGACTGGATAATGGACACGTCGGCACTCAAGAGGTGTCCAAATTAGTCCAGAGCATCGTATCACAGATCTTGAATACGCTGATGATGTAGTCCTTTTTGCTGTTATGAAATGCAAATGCAAAAAGTGCTAAATAACGTGTCAATAACTGCAGCGAGAATCGGACTCAGGATCAATGTAAATAAAACGAAAGGTCTTATGTGCAAAAAGCTGATAAAATGCCTCTTCTTGTAAATTCATTGCCGGTTAAGGAAGTACTCGATTTCAAATATCTTGAGTCCACTCTAATACCAAATGGACAGGCAAAGATAATATTATAACTCGGATCACGGAAGCTAGAAATGCGTTCTTCCGGTTGATGAAACCTTTATAGAGCCGTCGTGAAATTACCATTAAGATGAAAGTCCGCATCTATATAGTCGTGATTCATTCGATCTTGTTATATGGCTGCGAGACAAGGCCAATGAGAGTGGAAGATATAAGAAGCTATTTACCTTTGACCACTCTTGTCTAAGGTACATTTTAGGGGTCCCTCGAGCGGATAAAATATCATATGATCGCATCCATCTTCCACTCTCATATTACTTCAAATATCACTTGCATTAATAATGCTATCACACCCTCGCCTTCGGTGGCTAAGGCACGTATTTTCAGTCGTCCACCACAGAAGTTGTCGCATATTTCGTTACTTGCTAAACCGTGTGATGGATGGCGTCAAAAGAGATGGGCCGATCAAGACCTGGTTTGACACAGTCAGGAAAGATTTTGAACGTATAGATGGACCAGCAATATATGGACTTAGACGATGGAAAATGGAATGGCTTCCATTACTGTCGATGATAGCATCAGACCGCTCCGCTTGAAAACATCCTACCCTTATAGCCAGCCTAACCAGTAATGGTGAGAGTGTTAGAAGAAAGAAAAAGATATCTAAGAATATTTTAAATAAATGAAAATAGTATTTAAACTATATAAAAATTATTTATTATATAAAAATTGTAAAAAAATAATTAAATGAACAATGAAAACGAATTAATCTAGAAATGAGAAACAAATTAAACTGAAAACTTGCAACAATTTAGAAAAATATATAATATGCTTTATATTTACTTGGATACATAATCCACATCCAATAGTTGTTGCGTTTGATCAAAAATAACGATATTGTACTTTTGTATGAAATATTCATTAAAACTTTGGAATTTACTGTCAGGAAAATTTGATGCAGGAGTTGCGTTCAGAATCTATGATAGAAAAAATTTTCAGCGAGATAAATAATCAATCAATGTTATTTGTTTATTCACCAAATTTATTGTTTGAATCAAAAATAAAATTACCTCAGCGACGTAATAAAAAGACGGTTGATCTTTATCGCGATACCAAGGAGTTACAACCGAATCTTTAAAATCAGATGCTTCAAATTTGAATGCTTGACGTTCAATTTCAGAAGGAACTCGTGGTAGATTGCATGCTAAGGACATTATATTTCTAATATATGCATAATCTAGCACAAAGATCACATTACCTTGCGATAAATCTCGTTCTATAAAAAAGATTTTGAAATAAATTTCTATGCAAAATTTTATTTTCTTGAGATTTGATCCTTAAAATTCAGATTTAGCTGCCGAATTTTAAAATTAATTTATTATATATTATTACTAAGGAACAAAGTAATTTAATTCCAACTTTTAACGATAAAAGCCTTTTCCTAATTAATAGAAAATTAATAGAAAACTCCATTTCAAATATAAATACAAAATAGGCAAAAAGTAAGATAATAGATAAAATAAGACCTCGCCTCAATGGAACTATTAGAATATTAACAGGCGCTTTATCAGGAACAAATGCGAATCCTCCTTTAACCAATCTAAGAATGCTGTCGAATATATAGTGATGAAATTCTTTAAGTAACATAAGATTTTCATATGTAACAAAGCGCCGCGACTCATATAAGAAAATATTGGTTTGAACTCTTCCTTGGCGTAGAAACATCGGGAAAGGCGGAATCTGCAAACGAAATTTACAAAATAAATGTCAAGTATCAATAAATATCAATAAATTCTTAATTATTTAGTAACTGAAGCACATCAAAGAATTTATACCTTCATCAAGATAATAAGAGCGATGGAACGTAGGAATGACCATATCAGTGATAAACAGAAAATTTTTAATAAATTTTGTTAACAGTTTAACAGTTTAACAGATAAATTTATCAAGCAGTCCGTAAATTTGATTATGTTTTTAGCTAAAATTTATAAATAAACATCCAAAATATATTTTTAAAACGAATTTACATTTGGTATGCGCTTTTTTGTAAGAAATCCAAAACAAAAATCAGCATCAATAGGATTAGTTATCTTCCTTTTTTTAGGATTTGTAGCTGAAGTAGCTGCCTTTCGCAAGTCTATCTCCATCACATAAACGTAGCATTCGGAATCAGCATTCGGCATAGAGCCATTCAGCGCTTTTGCCATCTTAAATTAAATTTCAATTTTTTTCTCGATAAACAATTTTATAAAATTTTATATAAATTTTTTATAAAATTTTTTCATTAGTTTTTCAATTTTTTTAAAAGTAAAAACTAACTCTTTTATCATATAACTGTCTGCGTCTAGCAGATCCCACTTTTCCATCTAAATTTGGAATATATTCATCAGGATCATCATCCAGAGCGGTTAAAGTCAATACATCTTTACTAACAGGCAATAAATTATCATTTAATTCTTTCCGCTCGTGTAAGAGTTTGCATGCCTAAATTATGTAAATTAAGTAGCAAAAAAACCAGTGCAACGAAAAACATTTCCTCAAAACCCTCTCTCTTAATAATCCTTCGAATTCTACGAAAAAAATTCCAAAAAAAATCATTTTTCGCAATTATAAAAGATACATCAAAAAACAGTGAAACCAAGAGAATAATTAGAAAATCAAAAGAATTCATAGTTCCTTAAAAGCTAAATTAAAATAAAATTTATTTAGCTTATGAACAACAAGTTCACCTCTAATGCAACCGCCATCTGAGCTAATTTTTTTGAGGCCATAGGTTCCTTAATCGAAACAGCTTCTTTTATTGGGGAATTTATCGGTAAAAACAATTCCGCCTTATACATTTGTTTATCATCCACCTTAAATTTTAAAAAATCTTTTTATTTGATTTCCATATTTATAGCAAAATAAAAATAAAATGAATATTAATTTACCAAAAAAATTCAATTTATTCAAAGATACCAACATACCAACACTGAAACAATCCGATTTTTCGGCACAAGGCGAGTGAAAATATCACTAGGAAGCTTTGCACAATATCTAAAAATTAAAAAATAATTTTTGAAGACAACCTATAACCAAAAATGCAATTTATAATCCTCAAAAATCTGAAACCAAATTACCGATTAATTAAACCAATTGCCGATGATAATGTTACTTTAGCGCCCGTCGAATTTACAACATAAGGTTCAACGATTTCATCAATATCCTGGCTATGTGGCTCAGGAGGATTATGTATATTTTGACATCTTTTCAATAAAATCTACAAAAAATGAATCTTTTTTTTTGATTTCTCTATTTGATATTTCAAATTCAATTGATACAAATTTTCTAAGAAATTCTCAGTCAATTAATTTATTAACTAATGTAATTTTATAAGAAATGAATTAATTTCTGTCATAATATAATTTCCTTTTTATTTCCAGAAAGAGATTCATAGAATTTCATTTAAAAAATTTTGAAATCTCCTAAAATAACATAAGAAACTTAGGCAAACTTTTTTAATTATTAAAAAACCATTGACTTCTTCGATTTTGTTGAAGTTCCATAAATCGTCCTTAAAACTATCGCTGTCATTTTCGTCAACAAGGATAAAATAATAAGAGCCTTCCATCTGTGCCCGTCCTTTTGACTTAAATAAAATTTCACATGAAAATAAATCGTTGTTGGAAATCATTAACCTATACACAAAAAAAGAATGTAAAAAATACTCGTATGTATGACCGGTAATTATTTGGTTTATCAAAACGAATAACAACATTGCATTGTCTAACATCAATGCCTTCTTCTAAAACGCTTGTTGTAATCAGCAAATTCAAAGTTTTTGATCGAAATTTGCGCAAAACCTGAAAATGATATAAATACAAATAATGGTATGATATAATATAATATAAATAAGAAAGATAATGTGGAATTTGTGGAAATTTCCAAAATTTTTCTCTTTTCTTTTTGAATTTTTTCTTACTCTTTACCTCTTCTTGTCTTCGATGAAGTGCTAAAGCTTCGTCAGAACCAGCACTGGCATTGTTATAACCAATTATAAAATCAGATGATAAATAACCAAAAGTTTCGTGATCCAATTTTGCTATGGCTTTAATTAGAATCTGGAAAATGAATATTTAACGAAATAATTGTGGAAATAGAAAGAATAAGCCAGTGCCTTTTATAATTATTGGCATGAATAAATTTAAAAATTTCATCAAACCCCTTTAAAAAAATAAAATAAATAGAAATAAAAAAAGAAAAAAATATTAAACCAACATTGATAACATATGCCACATAACGCTGTTCAACAAAAATAATTCCAGAAAAGAAAAAATCAGATTGCATTTTCTCAATATTTTTTGGACAAAAAAATTGCAAAACTTCCAATAAACGGATAATTCTTGGTGTTAAAAATGGCTTGAGATGACCAACACTCTTCACTTCACTCATCTTAATATAAAAAAATTAAAAATTGAATAATCAAGCAGCTGTCGCAAAAAAGGGTGAAACGAAAAGATGAAAAAAATTAATAAGAACCTTGCTACTTAATATTTTCTTAGATAAACGCATGACTGTTTCGCCCATTTTCAAAAACAATACTTGTTTGTTGGGAAGCAACCGTTGCTTACAGTGTTTCTTCAACTGACGTTGAAATAACTAAAGGTGAAATGATCATAATAATGGCAATTATATTATAATCTCCATCCATTATTATAATCATATTCAATAAAATCATACTTTTTTGAAATTCCTTGCAATTTCCTTCTCTAATTTTCTCTTTCCTATGATAAAGTATGCCGATATCTCATTCTTAGTTTTAATAAAATATGAACTGCATAAAGTATGCCAATCAACCTGCATGACTTTCCAAACACACCATGGACCCATCTGTTTAAAAACCGAAAGTGTACGACAAAGAGCTTCTACAACAGGTTTTCTTGGGTCAATATCGAAATCAGGATTAAATTCATTGCATTTGACACAAAATAATCGTAAATTATTCTAAAATGTCGGAGCTATTTAAAATTAAATTTATTAAATTTTTATGACAGAAACGTCTTAGATATGGAGAAATTTCAGATATGAAAGCAAAAAAATAAAAATATAAAACTTCGAAGTGTAAAAAACACCATTATTTTGCAGATTAATTGATTATCTTCACAAGCCTCAAGCATATAATCTTGACAGATGATAAGGTACTCTTGTGGTTTACTGCCATATTTAGAAACCTGCAAAAATGAAAAAAAACCTATACATTCCAATAGGATTAGCAGTTATGGAAACAATTTACCAAGCAAAACTAGCAATCTCTTTATATAAAAAAGAAGATATTCCAAACAAAATCTAGATATCCACGAAAAAACAACGTAAAAATAACGTAAAGATGATTTATAAAAAACGACTACGAATTTTCCTTTTTTTTCTTAAAATAGGAAATTCTTGGACTTGTACTATATATACATATACATGATAAATTAATAGCTTACTGATACAAGATCGCTAGCGGTATAAATACGACAGCACATAATATTTTCCAATTTTCCCAATAATTTTTCTAACATTTCTGGCTCTATTTTATTATTTATAAGTGATGCGGTTAATCCAAGAATTCGAGGTCGATTATCTAGAATAAAAATTTATCTAATCCAAATACGATTAAAAAACAAGAACGAATAGATTTTATTATTGAAATATAAAATTTGGTATTTTTTAATAGAAATAAAAACATACTGACGGGAAGTTTGCGGTAATTTTGAAGAATTTGCGCATAAGGATGTTTTTTGCTTAATGCATAATGGCATTCATCAAAAATTAATAATGCAGCCTTCTCCAAATGAAAAAAGCCTTGGTTTATTAGATCAAATAAAACCTGCGATGTAATAACAAGAATCTAGAAATTTTTCTGATTAATAATGGAAATAGAAAAAAATGAATTAAATATTTCAAAATTTAAGTTGCTACATTACTTCATTAGTATCTTGTATTCTAACATCCAAAAATAATTAACTTCATGCTCATCGAGGTATGACACGAATTTCGACAGAATAACTTTCAAAGGACGATGCATTCGTCCAATCCGAAGTGTTGTATGACATTCGATACGTGACGCTTGCTGTTCAACCAAAGAAACTGTAAATATATAGTTGTTCAGCAATATTCGAAGCAAAAATTATAAACATCAACAAATTTGAATAAATTAAGTACTAAAAATATGAATATATTGTACGGCTCAGATCAGTAGTAAATGGAATCACTCAATATCCGAAATAGGTAGAAGAAGATTAAATAATTTACGATAGGAATATTGTTAATGATAAACCTTTATCAACAACGAAAATTGCTTTCTTGCCATCTCCATTAACTAATTTATTAGTGAATTCCCTTATAAGAAGTGTCGCGATGAACGCCTTTCCACATTCCGTTTCAAGTGATACAATTATATTGCCGCTGCATGCTTTTACCAATAATTCAACCTTCATAAGCAAGAGATAAATATTTTAAAAAAATTAAATTTAAAGTAAATTTAAACAGAAATAGAATTTAAATTAAATTAAATTGATTCCGCAACAATAATAATAATTCCACAGGCCCAAAGGAATGAAATTTTTCTCCTAATTTTTCAAAAACCTATAAAATAACTCTAATCTGGACAATAATTCTGATGCAAAATCGGAAGCCTCTTCAAAATTTCTTTAAAATTCTGAATCTCATAATTTTAAATTGAAAAAATTCCAAAAAATGGCACCTGGAAATCTCCTGGAGTGAAAAAATTTCTGTCGTATTCATTTCTTGGCGGCATTTCGCGTTTCTTCACCTAAAACCTTCGTATTACCATCCATAATTCAATGTTTTAAATGTCGACTACAGAAATCTTCAAATAACAAAAGATAACTATTTCCATTCCGAATCCAAAAAAAATTTATTTAAAACATTATTTATTCAAAATTACTGAAAGAAATAAAAGGAAATTTAAACTTTTCTTTCCCAAAAAAAGAAACAGAAAAAAGAGAAAATTTATTTTATTGATGAAAATTTGCACTAAAACACTAACACGTCGAAAAAAGTAAGCATAAATTTTTATAAAATCAGCAATTAATAGGGAGAAAAAGCAAGCAATAAAAAATAAAAGCAATAAAACAAAAAATAAAATGCAAAATACAAGAATGATTTCATGTAAAACGATTAATAAATGAAATGAAGGAAAATCTTATAATCAATTTTCAATTCAATAAACAAATTATGCAAAAATTATGGAAAATTCAGAAATTTAAGAGAAAAAAAACAAATTGAGTCATTTACTATGACCAGCAACTACGCGCATACGACTGAATTTGAATCAGTTGAATACTATTTGACTATTTCCAAATTATAAGAAAGATGGAAATCAATTCTTTTTCTAGATAAACGAGATAATCATAGCTGAAATAGATAACTGCGTGAAATGGACTAATCCATATACCAATGGCAGAGAAACTTTTCTGCCACGGATCCGCTAAATGGTAGGATAGAAATCCATGGACCCACTGTGCAACATTTTCGAGTTCCAAAATTTATTAAATTTTTTAACTAAGAGTTTTCAATAAACATAATAAAGTGCAAAAAATAATCATTTAAGTATCACCATTCAAACAGAAAAAATCCAAGTGGAACCTGAGCATCATCATGGACTCCGATAGACCTCATAGAGGCCAGTTTGACGCCCTGTGCCATGAATAAATCAAACAAGGTCTTCATAACTACGACGTGACTTATCTTTATAAAAATAATCGGGTTTTTCCTCCCATAAACCTAAATCACGTTCACCTTTTAATTCATCTTGTTTCTCATAATTATGACGTTTCAATAAATATTTTAAACGTTTATTTAATTCCAACCATCGTCGAGGTGAATTTTTTTCCAACTTATTCTTATACAAATTTCGATAATGAATTAGTTTTATCAATTCATTCGCTCGATGTTGTCCAGGAAAACCGCGTAACCATGTCGGTGTATGATATTGTAACTGTGCTGGATGAAGTTGACCGTCACCTAACAGATCTATATAATCATTCTCACCGAAACGTGCTTGATCATCACACCACGCATTACGAACTTTATAATCAGGTCGAGTGATTGGGACACGACAGTTAGGAATTCGAGGCAATGTGTCGACACCTTTACGGTGATATCGATAAAAATAACCTATATCACCAGTGAAATACATTTTTGAATCCGGATCTGCTACGACGCGTGGTACTCCACTTCTATTGCGTAACGTGCGAATAAACTGCACAGTGGACACGGCAGGAACGACAAGTGAATGCGGTTTAGCTGACATCGACAACATCTGAAATTATAATTATGGCATCACGTGAGGATAGACGAATGAAACTTAAAAGACGACGTGAACATATGTGAGAGTAATGTGAAACTAAACCGGCTGCAATCGTCCACTACCAAAGCAAATGGCCTCAAATGGCTGACCTAACCCACCCCTCACCAGTCCCCATCACCCGTCGCTGCTGACCACTTGGACTGAACCTTGAACCTTTATTTCCAGCAAAAACTGTATTCCCAAAAGTTGTATGGCGCGAAAACCTTCAAGTACGACAAATAATAATCCGATAGATAGTACAACACTACTTTCGTTTGTGCTGTAAGTATTTATAAGCTATAGGTATCATTTCAGAAAGACATTAGCGAAGGTTATTTGGGTTTCTAATAGGTGGGGGGTGGGGTGGGAAGCCCGTTTGGTTCAGAGATTCAGACGGGTTGGACTTGTCGACTCATCGCAAATCTGGCACAGAGCAATAGTGCAATTGAGAACGGCTGCCAGTTTCAGTTGCGGCTGTCCACGTTTACAATTTATTAATATTTGCGGAAATAAAAAACGAATTCGTTTCTAAAAAACAGAAAATGAAAATTGGTTCATTTATCCCTATCTCATCCGCAATAAACAAAGAATAAATATTTCGTTTATTTTTCAAATATTTTATTTTTAAACTTTGTAAAATTTAAAAATTATTAAAAATTGTATTGCAACAACTACTATGATTTCTGTTCATTTTGTTTCAAATTGTAAAATTATCATTGAAATGTGGCATTTGCGAATAAATAAAATAAGAATTTAAATCCATCATTAAATATTACAATTTTTCCGACGAGAAAACGAAAGGAATAAGTCTTTCGACGTTTAAAATTTTTTAAACGTAACTGGTTAATTTATTTATTACCAATTTTATCAATTAGTGACTTTGGCGTAACTTCGGTTGGGGAATTCGGCGAAGTAAACAAATTTTTGGAAATAATAAGGATTATGGATTAGGCTCATTGCACCAAAATTTATTGTATCACACATAAATATAGAAACTCTAAAATTACAATTAAAAAATTAGTCATCTAGGAGTTTTTAAAAGTACAATGATTCTTCATGATTATTCATTATTTAGGCAAATAAAACCGATCAGTTCAGTATGGTTAGCAACCTTGTTTGGTTTGTTGTCTGCAAATCTTCTTTTCTTTATTCCGAGATTTAGGAGGCACTGGATTGGCACCGGATTCTTGTCGACCGTATAAATATTTATAGGAATCCGATCGCAGATATTCCATGAGTGCAAGGTGACCTTCAACAGAGAGAATTAGAAATTACCTGAAATATTTCTGAATATTAGACATTCTTAAATTATTTCAGTGCCACCAACCTTTATGAAGCTGTTCTGCTATTGGTTGCACCCATGGATTGTTTTCCAAACGAAGAACTTTTTTAGGTCCAACGAGATCAAGTGAAGCAATCTCTGGTGGTAAAACAGTCATACGATTTCCCTAAATTGAGAGTCGTAAAGAATCCTCATCAGATCCAAGATAAGTAAAGTAAATAAGTAAAGTAACAAACAGGAATAAGTAAAAAATTCAGAAAATTCTAATAAAAAAAACATATAAGAAAGAAAATTTACCTGAATGTGCAATTCTTTTAAGCGATACAGTTTCGCAATTTCCTTTGGCAGTGCAAGTAAATCATTCTCTCTCAGTACGAGTATCTGTAAACTCGAAAGATTTTCTACATCAGACGGTAAATATTCGAAATCGTTGTCGCCCAAATAAAGTGCTCGCAAGGTTGCTAGAATATATGATTTTATTAAATTATTAGTTTCCAAATCAATTAAACTAATGAGTAAAGTAAAGCTCACTAATGAAAAAGAAATTTCCCGGTAAACTTCTTTCAGATAAATTATTATAAGTGAGATCGAGTATTTCCAACGACTGAAAAGAACCAAAACCGCGAGGTAAAATGCTAAGGCGATTCATTCTAAAATTATAAAAAACTGTTAAACGATGGACGAATTATTATTATTTTTGAATAAAAACTACTTATTAGAATGAATAAAAATCAATGATAAAAATTAAAAATCAAAATTTTCAAATATACTTTTGGCAAATATTTTTGATATTTTTAAATATTTTCAATATTTTAAATCATTGAACCTATTTTTAACGATTCCGAATTATAAATTTTCAATTATATAAGAATTTATATTCATGCCATAACCCATAAATAACCCATAAAGGATAAAGAATATTAAAGGACACTGATAATACGAAAAATAAACTTGATAATGATAATAATGATAAACGTCGGGTGGTGCTGGCGCCTTACCCGTATTTCTATCGTCGATGGACTCTCTGGCAAATCTGTACGACAAGCCAGAGTAGCGAGTCTAACTAATGGCTCTTTAAAAAAAGTGATAAATTCGCCATAATTTTTAAAAGAGAGAAAAAAAGCAACAAAATAAATAAACGAAAAGACATGAAAGACTCCAAAAAAATAACCCGAGATTTAAAATTCGAAGCTTATGGAGAGATGAAATGGAAGTTGGCAATTCTTCGACTTGGTTATTCCACAAATTAAGTATCTATAAATTTAAAAATTTTTTTTCTCATTATTAATCATTATTAAAATCGCCGAGAAAGACAAAGTTTAAACAAAAACAACAACAACAAACTTGTAAATTAGATAAATCAGCGATGTTGGCTGGCACAGAAGTTATTTTGTTGTGGCTCAATGTAAGACGAGTTAATATGTCACTGTGAACTGAAAAAATTATCTGTTCAAACAATATTCAACCATTCAGTTTTTGGCTGGCTCAATTGACTGCTCTTTTGGCTTCCTCCACTCAATATGATTTCATTTTTATGGCAGTTAAGGTATTTTTATCGAGGAATAGATCGATCAATCAACTAATCAATGATAATCAATATCAAACACTCGAACATTCTGGCCTTTCATAGAAGTACCAAAACACGAATAGAATTCGACAATAAAAGTGCAACGTACAGATATGCGATATTTCTTGAAATGAATGAAGGCCTCGATCGACATATTCCACTTCAGTACTTATCTCATCGCGATGCTTATCACCTTTACTAACTGCTGGCATGGATATTTCTAAATATTATTTATAAAGCAGTGAGCCAGAATAAATGCTTAGAAACTAATTTTGCACGAAAAGAATCTTTTGTGCTTTTAACTTTGAGTTGGGTCGAGCTTCGCTTACTTGGGTTTCACGAATCTGTGATTTCCGTTAAGTTAGCCGAATATTTGAAGAAATTTATAGAATTCGCCAGATGATGCGTAAACCAAAAGAAACATAACATAAAGATAATTCAGAATATTATTCATAATGCATGGAATCAGTAGAAGTAAATAAATCTTTTTTTAAAGAGCGCATTTCCACATAAGCTGGCTCCGCTGGCTTGTCAGACCAGACGAATTTCGCCATGGAGTGGAATCACTTGGCGATAGAAGTATAAATGGATCACTACCACCATCTGGATTTTTGAAAGATAGTTTTTCTATTGCCGAGAAAAGAAGCACAATGATGGCACTCTGAAATGATGGCACAACCCACCAATCTATTATTTTACACAAATTTTTCAAAACCTAATTCATTCCAGAGAAATTGATTAACTTTTTTGGTGATTTACATCAATAAAAAGCCAATCCATTTATAATACTAACTTAAAATCAAATAATATTCTATTATTAATCAGCCGTCAGTAACTAATTCAAATCAGAATGATAACCAAATCACTTAAGCCAGCCACCCACCCGCATCACACTTGTTCACTTTACACAAAGAAATTTCGCTATAAGATTGCCAAAAAATACCGATTGAAACCATATAATCGTTTATAACCCATTCTTTCTACTAATTTCACGAAGAAATTATCCATTGACACAAAATTTTACCAAAAATCTTTTCCCTTTTAATGCCTCATAGAACTTATTTACCTGGTTACTTTACTGAAATAATGTGAAATCAAGCGGTAAGGATTCACTTTTGGCTAGAAGTGTTTCCTGCGATTTTTGTCCAAAGAAGTCGATTGCCAACACCAACAGGAATTTTTCATTATTTGCTTGTTCCTACCAGGGAAAACACAAATTTAATCGCTCTCCCACTTTATTACCCAATAAAACATCTTTCATATGGCTTAAACTCTGCCGATACGATGATTGATGCACTACAGCCAAAATAAAGCAACAGCAACATAGATATGACACCAATCCCTTGGAAGAATTAAATCATTAAAATTTCGATGAAGGTGAAGGTCATGAAGGTCATCTCTATATCCAAGTGATTCCGTGACCAAGAATCTTCGTAGCAGTGGGAGATACAATAGAAATGAATGCGTATCATGGGAACCATTACCTTTTCCCTTTTCGTATAATTTCTATTGTCAGAAAATTGCACTGTAAATTTTTTCAAAAATTCGCCGTTGCAAAAAAAAAAAAAATTATAAATATATTCAGTCATATTTTTAATGAAATAAATTCAACGATACAAATATGTCAATAAATTCATCCATTTTTATAATCAATTTTTTTATTTTTATAACAATTAATGACCATTATTTAAAATATCATTTGGTGAGGATACTGGTTCTTTGCCAATGAAAATTTGGAACCTAAGTAACCAAACATAAATTTATGTTCAGGATGTTTGCGGATTATTTCTAATATTTGTTTATCAACTTGTTTTTGATCAGCCTTCCGAATTTCTGACACTTTATATTCCTGAAATCTTTTATGCAGAAAAACAAATAGGAAAGACCAAATATGCAAGGAAAAATAAGCCGATGTATTAATACCTCAGTTCCTTGTGCGAAAATATTCGTATCACCTTTCTTCGCCTCTTTCTTCCTATTGATTCTCCGGAAATAATCATCATTAATATGCTCCGGAATTTGTAAGCCCGTTATGTCCAAACTTGTTTTTGTTGCAATTACAAAGGCTTGAGCGATTCGACGAAGTGGCATTGAATTGATTTTAAGAGGACCTTCAGTAAAAATATCCATAATTTTAACCTTGCAAATCCCTTTTTAAATTTAAAAAGTTAAATTTAAAAGTCGTTCTTAAAACCTGGCTCCCAAATTGATCTTATAATTTTGCTTTTTTGAAATAATTTAATATTCACCAGTAACAAGCAACAACCCTGATTTAGGGAGCTGCTTAAGAAAAATAACACGTTTGCCCTTATGGCGGCCAACTAATATAATAAGAATAGTGCCCGGCTTAATCGAAGATCGAAGAGGTACTTTCTTCGTTCTGTTGTGGCGAGTCTTTCTAACATATTCGCGTTCGGGTAAAAATCTGGGCTAAAATTAAACAAAGAATGAAACAAAGTACTGATATGCATTATATCTGCAAGCGAGAGATAAAATCCAAAATGCTTAATCAAAAATATTCCAAATAGCAAATTAGCTTTAAATATTCATTCTTCTACTAGCAAGTACCATTTTTTTATGCTTATTTATCTCCGCTGATTACGATAATGAGTTCAGACTATAATATAATAAAATATAAGAATAACAATTTAATAAATCGAACCACCAGAGCAAAAAGGTAAAAAATAGCAAGGTAACAAATTCTGTAAATGATAAGTGTAAATGGGAAATAATTTTCAAGAATGAGTTATAGACGAAAAAAATTATAAAAAAATTTATAGACGAATTTTTTTTCTATGCGTTTACCATTCCTAATTAAACTCAGTTCACTGGATCAGTTAAATTCTGTCTTGTCAGGAAAGAGATGAACCATCGGTGTCAACCGATATTTTAAAGGCAATTTCACTTTGCGAATGGAAGCCCACTTCGAAAGTCAGCACTTCGAAATGAAGCAACTTATGCCATTTTACGTTGAATTACACAAATACGTCCAGTAATTTTTAACAATGCTATTATCCGAAAATAATCAACAAAGAAATAAGAATAATAAGAACTTACTTTCTTTTTTATGGGTACTTTACGTTCACCTCCATTCTTCTCCCCACCAATCGGCTTTACCACAAATTTTTTCTTTTTTTCAATAGTTTTAACAACAACAGGATATCGTTTGCGGATAAAAAGACCTCTTTTCGAATACATTCTTGAAGATGAAAATCGCATGACTCCAGGAGCTAACTGATAGTTGCGCCGCAAACGTGGAACGCGCTTCCCCTTTGCTTTTACCATCTTCTCTAAAAATTCTACTAAACAATAAGAGGAAAAAAAATGAGAAAATGATCCATTACAAAATTAATACGATATGCATTCACTATTATCGACTGGGCTGGTTCTACTGACATATGCCAAAATCTGTAGGAATGAAGCCAGCACCACTCGAATTTAAATTTCTATCGTAATAGTGGGATCAAACTGTGGAGTTCTATTCCCAGAACAGACCTTTTTTTCAGAGGTTTTTCCGAGTGCCACTCACTCGTCGACTCACTTGTACCTCTCCAAGCAAATCCCTGGCTTTTGATAAGCCAAATTAAAAACGGCGAGCTTCCCTTGGAAAAATAATTCGCATGATGAAAACGACTTAAAAAAATGCATTTTTAATGAGGTTCTCACCATATTTTCGTTACTTATAATCGTCGAACGAATAAATGATAACAAATTATCTTTAAATATTCATATTTATTTATTTGTTCAGATTATTTATCATTTAAAATCTTAGAGTTTTGGAAATTTTTACAGAAACCGTCGTATTCCACGAAATTTTTTGCAAACCTCAGGACCAAAAACTGCCAGCCTTAGCAAACCTCGGAACTCGAGGAACATTAAGAACCCCGCAATCAAACAAAGAGTGCTTCCCCCCCCCCCCGAAAAGGCCGACATTGCCAAAACATCGCCTAAACATCAGTAAAAAAAATGTTATTGGTAATAGTCTTCCTCATTGCTATAATTCGGTCTTGAAAAAATTCGGCATAAGATAGTTAGCACGCATTATTTGTGGCTGTTCACATTATTGGTTGTTACTTGGTGGAGAACTCTCCGTTCTTAAGTTTGGGAATGGAAATAGAGTCCAGAGCACCTCTCGGATCTTTTAATGCAGGTCTTTTCCATCTGAAGGCAAGGCCGGAACGTCGATACCGATGATAAGCAACAATGGTTTATCACTAGCTAGGCACAATAATATTATCAGTAATATTAATCTAAAGTTTTTTAAAATCTATAAAGTAACTTAAAATCTATCAAGTTTTTTTTCTCTCATGCATGATGCTACGACGTTTATGGCAAACACGATACGTGCATTTAAAAATTATAATAACCATACAAGAAGTGAATAATTCTAATTTTCTAATTTTAATTCTAATCAAATTCTAATTCTAATCAAGCAGAATGGTAGAGTGATGTGTTGCTGACTGAGTTCAAGCATCTAACGTTCGGTGCTTACCCGTCGAAATTTTTATCATTAAAATCCAAAAGTAGTCCACTTATATTTCTGCTCCCAAGTTTGACTCTCTGGATCTCACAATCCAGAAACCATGTGGTGCCGTTAGAAAAAGAAATAGAACAATTCCATTGTAGCGGTTCTAATTTTTGATCTTATTTCTTTTTTTGCTTAACAGCTTAGGCTGTCCCTCTAAGGTTGAATATTAAAGGATTTCAATCCAGCGTACCGAGATTTTGCAGGCAGTTCAGTTGTGGCAAATTATCGCAGCAGCATTTGGATGGTATGTCAATATGCTACATTGCCACTGTGAAGTCTGATGGACCTAATATAATATAAGAGTACTTAAAGAGGTGTTAATAACGCGAAATATGTCGGGATGTGGCAGAGTGCTAAAGAGAATTAACTTGATTTTAGGGTGGTGGGCAGAGGAATTGTTAAGGCACTATAAGGAGTCAAAATCAAATAAAATATAAGGAAGTTTGTGGTAATATGTGTACTAATGAGTTATAGAAGAGTAGCAAAGAGTAGTGAAGATGAATATAAGGTATCGTCAGATGGCGAAGTTCAAAAGCTATTTAAAGCAAAAATCAAAAGGATTCGAACCATAATTAATCAGCTTAAAAATACGATTAAAGTGAACTGGACAAAGTCAAAAGTACCATTGAAGTATCTATAAATATCGACCCTTGAGGGCTTAACAAGGATTGATGAATGACTTGCGAGACAGGAGTCATAAACGAAAAAGAAAGGTGGACCAAGCCTAAAGTAATAGTTGAATTAGTCCTTCGGAAAAACAACGCATTTTTATAGGGTATTAAAAGCTGTTAGGATCGTAACATGGTCAGCAAGATTTTGAATATTGAGATCTAGGAGGATATTGCCTGTACTGGACTCAGAGCGGACATTTGGGGTGGGAGGGTTTCAAAGTATAGTAGCTGCATTACAAATAGATGCTATGGAGAAGGTACTTAACGGAGATTGAGAAGAGTTCCATGAGACTTAGGAAATTTCGGATTTTTCCCTGGACATACACGGAGGTCCGAACAAAGACGCGCACACGCAAATGCGTAAGGAACAGCGGCAACACCATGTTTTATATTTCATAGTCATATTTAGTCACCTGATTTTGGTTGTAAAACAATACTTTAAAATATAAACAATTTGGTCCAGTAAAAAAATTACAATTTGCCTATTTGTTATTTCGCTAATTGTATATACCCTCTGAGAGCGAACGAAACGACGATCAGATAGTAAGATGAGTAAAATTTTGGTTCTCTACCGACGTAATTTCCCCATCAACGCCATTAAGTAAAATTGGCCGACAGTAATATTGCCTTGTTTAGCACTGCACTTGCTGCAATCCCATATACTTTCACTTTTTTTTAAAGGTGCTCTCCATTTCTGGTTAGACTACTTCGTCGCTAAACTCCGCTAACGAGTTAAATCTGCCAGGGAAATGGCGACCGCATTTTATTCAGCTACTGTAGTGAAAAATATTTCGCCGACTCTATTCAACCGCCGAACAAACCAACAAAATGTGCTTTTTTCTTTTTCCCTCTTTTTTCAAATAATTAAATAATGGAAAAAAAAATGGAGTGAAAGGAAGGAAAAGAGTTATTACTAATTTTCATAAAAATTATATAATTATGATTAATTACGAGATCATTGTTTTGTCAGTGGCTATTAGTAGTTTCGATACTCGTCAAGTGACTAGTCAGATGGTGCTGAAAGTAAAGTAAAGTTAGCTTTTCAAGTTCACGCGGATTTTTTAATGACAGATCACCCCTTTGCAAAGAGAGCAGCCGAACATGTTGTTAGTTGTTGGATGGTAATCTGAGCAATGCAAATTCGACTCATTTAACCATTTAATATCATTCATGATCACTTTTCAGTTGAATTCATCAAATATTTCACTTTATTCTATTCGAAACTGGGATCTTTCCTACGCCCATTTCAGTAATTCCAGTATAGTACATGTTTTTCACTGGAATAATTTATTTATTTAATGAAAAAATCCAAAAAAACCTATTTAATGAATTTAATGAATTACTGAAACGATTGCAGTAATTCCTCGCAGAATTCAAAGAATTTTTTTTTATTTCTATGTGGCATTAGCATTTCTTAATTTTGGCTGTCTTAAATTTGTAGGCTGTAAAGATAGTACTACTTGCCATATAATTTGCTATTCTCGTGAGCGACTGTGTCGGTCATTCTCTCTGTCAATAATTCATTATTTTTATTATATTGCATTGTGCTTCGCTAAAAGAGTGGAATGGAAAGAATAAATTATTCTTATTGCATTGTCTAAAAGATTTTCTTTTCAAAAGATATTCTTATCTTTATCTTTATTGATAACCAGCCAAGCAGGGGACAACGCCATGTGCTTGTATTAATAATAACAGTATCAATAATAAATAATAGAAAAAAAACATAAAAAAAAAACATAAACAAAATTAATTATAAAACAATATGATAAAAATTAACAATTTAAAGAGGAAATTATAGATTAATATAATATAGTACAATTCGAAGTAAATATATAACCTGAAGATAAAATCGAGATTTCTCACTTCCTGCAGTTCTTGCCTGGTGTAAACTCTTCTCTCTTTTTTTTTAAATAATATCGTAAATGATATTATCTAGTCTTTTTTTAAAAACAGCTAAGGATGACGCACAAGCTACATCGTTCGGTAATTTGTTCCAGTAGTTAATAGTACGAATAAAGAAGTCATGAGTCCTTAGTTTGCATATAGGTTTTAATAATTTTAAGCCATTAGTTCTTGTTGGATTCAAATTTAGTCTAAAGTTATAATATTTCGAGCAATCTAGTTTAACATAGCCATACAGAATCTTATATGTGTAAATTAAATCTTCAATTCTACGAACTGAGAGAGAATCCATGTTATGTTGTAGAAGTGTTCTTTTATAATTAAAATTATAATTTTTATTAGGAGAGAGGCGTCGCAGAAAATATTTTTGGAGCCCTTCAATTATTTTACCTGTTTTGCGATGTCTAGGGGAGTAACATATAGTATTGTAGTCAAGAAGAGGCCGAACGAATGCTTTGTATAATTTGATAAGAAAACTTTCAGTTTTGTTCTTAAATGAACGAAAAATAAAATTTAGTATCCTTGAGGATTTCTTTACTATGGTTCTGCAGTGAAGATCGAAATCGAGATTTTCATCCATGATTATTCCAAGATCGGAGATGTGTGAGACTCTATTGATTAAATTACCATTTATAAAAAGGTTAGGAAGATCGAATCCTTTAGAGTTGATGTGAAGAACACTACATTTTTGAAAGGAAAGGGTAATTTGCCTGTCATATAGCCAGTCAGCTATTCTGTTGAGGTCCTCCTGCAGTGGAGATAGGCTATCTGCTCTACCATGAGAATAATAAATTTTACAATCATCAGCATAAAGATAGATAGTAGAATTTATTATCACTGTGGTAATATCATTTATATATAATAGAAATAGCAATGGCGCAATACAACTGCCTTGGGGTACGCCTGATTTAACAGGTGTCATGTCAGAAAGAGTGTTGTTAGCATATACAGCCTGGTAACGATCTTTTATGTAATCTGACACCCAGTTATAGAGGTCCCCTGTTATGCCATAACTATTAAGAGTGACCAATAATTTGCTATGGGAAACAGTATCAAAAGCCTTAGCCAAATCTAGGTACACAACTGATACTATTTTTCCATTGTTAATTGATGCTGACCAATCAGAGAAATTTGCCAATATTTGTGAAGAAGTAGATTTTTTTGTACAAAAGCCATGCTGATAA